CCAGCGAAATGATTTAGAAAGGGTAATACAGTCGTAATGGCAGGAAGCAAGTACAGTCCATTTGGCCGGGGAATCTCTGTAGTGCTTTGGGCAGGCCGACTGGAAATGATGCTCTCACTGACCGTATATGAAAGCCTGAAGTCCCTGATGACAGGAGGCCCCCGTGGACGATGTAGGGAAGGGGAATTTGAAAGGAAACCCCCACGCCACAGGCTCCACAGGTTGTCTGTGACCTGAGTACCACTGAGCTGTGCCCTGTGAGAGGGGCCCCTGGAAGTGGCCCGTTTTCCGCACTGACTCCAGTGGGAGAGCTGGAGGCTCAGGTGCTGCCACGGTGGGGGGCAGAGGACAGAGGTGGAGTGAAACTGGGCAGTGTGTCTGTGCTTGCCGGCTGCCCAGCCCTGCACCCCTTCTCGGATGTGGAGGTTGGGAACCAGGGGACACGCCTGGGCACACTCTGTGAACATGGCACTTCCCACAGCCACCCCACTGGCTGGCGGAGACCATGCCTCCTGTTGGGAAATGGGCTCTGTTGTAGCTCCCCCCAAGAAACCTGGAGGCCCAAACTCTCGATGACGGCCTTTCCCTAAAACGTGCCCATATGCTGTGTTTTAAAGTTTCTGTCTCCTGTTTCTCTCCTCCCCTTCTCCCCACTGAAAAAGGAAAAATATTCCCAAGCATGCTCCCTCCCTGTCCGTTTCCTCAATTGGGAGTACGATAAAAAGATGCTTCTTGGGGCTGGCCCAGTGGCCAAATGGTTAAGTTTGCACTCTCCGCTGCAGCGGCCCAGGGTTTCGCCGGTTTGGACCCTGGGTGTGGACATGGCACTGCTCGTCAGGCCATGCTGAGGCAGTGTCCCACATGCCACAACTAGAAGGACACACAACTATGTACCGGGGGGCTTTGGGGAGAAAAGGAAGGAGGAAAAAAAAGATTGGCAACAGATGTTAGCTCAGGTGCCAATCTTAAAAAAAAAAAAGATTCTTCTCTTCTGGTATCCCTGTGTCCCTCAAGACTCCCTTCTGTCCACGCTGGCACTCAGGCTCATATGTATTCCCTTCCTTGGTACCTGTCCTTCACCTCCCAGGTGTTAGATCAAGCCACTATCTTGGGAAAAGTGGCTAAAAGAGAGGAAATAACAGTTTTCTTTGTAACAAAAATGCGAAACCATCTAGAAAGAAAAAATATTTAGGCCCTTCTTTATAGTAGTATACAGAGTAAAACACATTTTGCTAATAAATGAATTCTTGAAATAAATATGATTTTCAAAGTTCTTAGAGCTGAGAATACTATTTTTAAACTATGAACACAATCCACTTAATTTACCTGTTGTTTGTAAAATAAAAACTAGCCTAAGCCTTCCTAAGCGGGCCTCTCTTAATGAGCAGCTGTTGGTGGGGAGGTCCATTGTGAAGTGCCGGTCCTCAGGTCAGCCCGTGTGGATTCTGGCTCATGGATGGGTGGGAAAGAGCTAATCCCATTCAGATTGCTCTTGTCGGCCAAGTGCATTGTCTTCTAGCCCACTTTTCTGGCAAAGCTGAACTGATATGTTTCTACTTGGCCCGGTGCGTGGAATTAGTTATGTATGCTCCTCGTGCTTTGAAAGGCCTGGGGAGAAGGAGGCGTGAGAAGAGGAAGCAGAGGAGGAGGGGGCGGGGGGCAGGCAGGAGGTGGAGAGCGAGAAGGAGAGGGCCCGTGAGCTGGCGGTGTAGACTTGCCGGCGGCCTGCCCTGCGTGGGCCCAGTCACAGCTCCCTCCGTTGGCCACACTGCCCAGGAAGCCTCGGGAGATGCTACATGCTGAGGGTCAAGTCTCTGTATCCGCTGCGTCCGAGGCTTGGGCACAGCCCTGGAAAAATAGGCTTGACCCAAGTGGCCAATAAAACTTTCCATTAACGAGAATGAGTTAAGAGTTTTAAAAAGACACGTGAAATCTTTCCATTTGAGCAGTTTGTTTTTTAATGAAATGAAACCTTTATTGACATAAGCTCTGCCAGGCAAGGGGAGAATGATTAATTAAACTCTGCGGTGCCATTTTGGGCAGAGTCTCAGTACCAGAATAAAGCATTAGAAGGTATTTTCGGGGGGTTATAGGCTCCAGAAGGGCCTGTCAGACCTTCTGAGCTTCAGACCTTCTGCCTGGCTTTCCCCCAGTTCCTGTAGGCTCCTGGCAGGAGCAGGGCCAGGGCCAGGGCCAGGGCCAGGGGGATTTCTGCAGATTCAGGCCATGTGGCTTGTGAGTATTATGAAACCAAGGACGATACTAAAATACAAAGTAAACGCGCTTTGGAGAAGGCCGGTCCTGGTGTGTGACTATGTTCCTTGCCTAACCTTTCTGGGCAGGCTGGAGTGTGGTGACTGCTGTCACTCAGGCCGGGGCCTCCCAGGCAAAACCCTTGGGACTCGATGTGCATCCAGAATCAGACCTTTTTTTTTTTTTAGGAAGTCCATGCGGTGCATAGACCATAACACCCTAGGAGAGCCTGGAGCGGCACTCTCTATTCAAATACATTCTTAATTTTGCAGCAATATGCAGGAATAAATAAAAACAATAAATAGCCTCACACCCACGTCAGGTTTTATGGCCAAGCGAGGTGAGTTCAGATCGGTTTTGATGCTAAGTGAGTTACCAGAACTGGTGTCTAGAGTGTCCTGGGTTTGGGAACTGTGGATAAGGCATTGCTGGCCTCTGTCGCTCACCGTTAGTCCAGAGCACTGCAGCACATTCCCCTGGCAGCCCCAGGTTCCATCCCTTGCCTCCAGCTCCTCGCCCCATCCCAAGTTTTTAAAGCAAGTTTTCAGCAGTTGGAGGAGGATTTAAGGTAATTCACCATAGAGCTATCTAAACACCAAACTGGAGAGGTACCTGTAAGATCAGGCCTGGCGTGGAGGCAGGGGACCCAGACTCATTCACCAAACCCCTCTCCCTAAAAGACGGATTCCCCCCCCCAAAATGTGAGTGAGGTTATGTTAGAATAACTAAACTGAAGGCCTACTTCAACCCAGCAGCAATAATATATGGATTTCATCACCTCAAGAAATTTTAGTGGTTGGGCCAGCCTGGTAGCGCAGCAGTTAAGTGCGCATGTTCCACCTCGGTGGCCTGGGGTTCACCAGTTCGGATCCCAGGTGCGGACATGGCACTGCTTGGCAAAAGCCATGCTGTGGTAGGCGTCCCACTTATAAAGTAGAGGAAGATGGGCATGGATGTTAGCTCAGGGCCAGTCTTCCTCAGCAAAAAGAGGAGGATTGGCAGCAGATGTTAGCTCAGGGCTAATTTTCCTTAAAAAAAAAAAATTAATAAAAAATAAGAGATTATAGTGGCAGAGATTAAGAAAGCATCCCCAAAGGGTTTGGACCAGCACGTGAATGATAGGACCATGGTTGACAGCTAAAGAGCCAGGACAAACCCAGCTCCAAAATTAACCACAAAATGGAGAGAACTGGCAATAGATCCCAAAGTCTGAGTGTCCCCTCCCCAGGGTGACAGGGTTGTGCTCTGAGCCCAGCTCCTCTGGCCAGGCTTACAGGGTCCTAGAGAGCTGGTTGCCACCTCCTCCAGAAGTAAAGGGAGCTGCTGCATGCACCTGCTGAGTTCTCCTGCTGGAGATGTTCCTGAGGGAGAGGGGAGGAAATCTAGGCTTCTGTAAGGCTTGAGCCCACGTTCATGCTCGCATAAATTAACTGGGTCAGCAGTTGGGGAGGATTCCAGATTATAGGCTTGCAGCCAAGAAGCAGCCAAAACGTACAAGGGCTTGGCAGGTGATAGCAGAACATGATATGGCACAAAAAAGAAGGGAAACTGGAGAATAGTGCCTGGCAGTGATTGGGAAAGGGGTCAGGGCCTTCGCCTCACCCCAAGTGTGGTATTTCCTGTTCTGTCAAGAAGGCCAACATGCAGGCAGGCTGCCTTCTCTCCAGGGTTAGCAATCTCCCCAAATGTCTCCTGTTAGTGCCATACAGCCCGATGTTCCGACGTGAGGCAGCTCCCCCAGAGGGTCACAAAGGTCTCAAATGATAGATGGCCTGTCCTACAGCATCAGTAAACACAGGCCCTGGAGACACCCTGTCTCCCCATCAAAGTCACCAAACCTCAGAGCACCTCGGGGTCACTGGGCTGGATGGTGCCCAGCCGTGGTGGCATGATGACAGATCTCAGATGGTGGGGCACCAAGAGCTTGCCCAGGCACAAAGACAGCTAATTTATGAAGTTTATCAGTGGAGCTTATCGACACTATAAACAAGGGACAATGTTTTTCATTCCATGGATTTTTTTTTTGTCTGCTTCATTCATATTTTTTTGTCAGCTTAATTGAAGTGTAATTTACATACAATAGGATTCAACAATTTTAAGAATTCAGTGAGTTTTAGCAAACATAAAGAGTCACACCACCACATACAGGATGTAGGCCAAGGGTTGGCAGACTGCGGCCTGTGGACCAAACCCAGCCCCCATCCTGTCCTTGTTTTGTACATTTTTAAAGGATTGTAAAGAAAAACATGAAGAATGTGCGACAGAGATGGGTGCGACCCGCAAAACCTAAGACATCTTCACTCTGGCTCGGACGGGCAGAGCTTGCCGACCCTCACACAGCTTTTCCACCACCCTCGCGGCCCCTGAGGCCCCTGCGGCATTCCCCTCCCTCACCCCTGGCAACCAGTGATCTGCTTTCTATCACTGTAGTTTTGCCTTTTCTAGAACTTCGTATAAATGGAATCATACTGTACGTTGCCTTTTGCATCTGGCTTCTATCAGTTGTAACACTTTGGAGAGTTGTCGTCTGCGCTTTTCCATGTATCAGTAGCACATTTCTTTTATATTTCTGAGTGATGGGGTGTCCCATGTAAGGTAGGCTTCCGCTCTGCATGAGATGGGGGCCCTCAGCATGTTTTAACCCCATGCAGGCTCAAAGCAGAAGCCAAGGGGTGGGGGGAGGCCCAGGGCCAGGGGTCGCGGCCCGCAGCTGGAGGGGCCCGCTCTCACCTCCCTTGTCTCTGCAGGCATGAACAACCGGGAGGTGCTGGAGCAGGTGGAGCGCGGCTACAGGATGCCCTGTCCGCAGGACTGCCCCATCTCTCTCCACGAGCTCATGATCCACTGCTGGAAAAAGGACCCCGAAGAGCGGCCCACTTTCGAGTACCTGCAGGGCTTCCTGGAGGACTACTTCACGGCGACAGAGCCCCAGTACCAGCCTGGTGAAAACCTGTAAGACCCGGGTCTGCAGAGAGAGGCCTCGTCCAGGAGGCTTCCCCGCCCCCTCCCCATTAGCTTCCAATTCCGTAGCCAGCTGCTCCAAGCAGAGCAGCCAGAACCGTCCAGGATCAGATTGCATGTGACTCTGAAGCTGACGAACTTCCATGGCCCTCATTAATGACACTTGTCCCCAAATCCGAACCTCCTCTGTGAAGCATACGAGACAGAATCTTGTTATTTCTCAGACTTTGGAAAATGCATTGTATCGATGTTATGTAAAAGGCCAAACCTCTGTTCAGTGTAAATAGTTACTCCAGTGCCAACGATCCTCCTCGTGCTTTCCTTTTTTTAAAATGCAAATCCTATGTGATTTTAACTCTGTCTTCACCTGATTCAACTAAAAAAAAAAAAGTATTATTTTCCAAAAGTGGCCTCTTTGTCTAAAACAATAAAATTTTTTTTCATGTTTTAACAAAAACCAATCAGGACAGGTGTTCGTTTTTTTCTTTTTTGTAAACATGAATATGTATCATATATCCATCCCTGTACACACACCATGTGGGTGCTAACGTGGAGACCGTGGCCAAGCTGGGCCACGAAGCTTCGGGACCCGGAGTGAAGATTTTTCCGGCAAAATCAGCATAAAAGCACTGGTGTCATTCTGAAAACCAGTGGCCTCCTTTTTGGCTTTTGCAAAGCATGAGTCTTTCTTTCTTTTTTTCTTTTTGATTTGGATTGCACTTTTTGGTTCATGACTGCACCTCTGGTGGCTGCTCCTTTGACTCTTCAGCAGCCCCCACGCTGACTTCCCAAGTTCTGTTTCCAGTATTTGCTTCAACTTAAACTGTGATTTGTTCTTGAAACTTAAGAGTTGAGCATATTTAAGCAAGCAAACGGCCAGTACCACCGGGGGAACTGGAAAACGGATACCACACAAACTTCTTGTATAAAAATACGAATGCTGAAGTGTTTCAGACTTTTTTTTAATTTAATAAACATTGTAACCACATTTAAATGGTCTAAAACCCATAGCATTGTAGTCGTGGCAACCTGCTGAATTCTCATACAACTAAAACTTACGGGGAAGGTGAGGGTGGGGGTTGTACATTTCCCATTGTAAGATAAGTGTTTTAAATGTCCTGTACTGCTAATGAAATGACTTTCTCTATGTCCAAGAGTTCTCCAGTGGAATAACTATGCACTACTTTACATTTCACGGGGATGCACAAAAAAAAAAAAAGTATTACATTTTTAGTTACTGTTTGTACCAAGCTTGAATTACGTCTGTTTAACAACAAATCAAAAAGCCTATTTCTATTGGGTTTTTAATACTGAGTAGCAACTCTGAAGTCTTAATTCCTTTTTTGTTATGATTTATTTGTGAGTTTACATTTTTAAATTGTTTAACTTTCTTAATTTAGTAATTAAAAAGAGAGCATTTTACATTTGAATTTTTTTTTTGTTCATTTGTTTAAATCAAATCATGGAAGGTACTCTAGTGACGTATCTGTCCCCACACCAGGTTGTCAGGAGTCATGTGGTGGGTTTCACCGTTGTGCAGTGATTTCCAGATGACAGAAATGTTCAGAACACCTGGAGTGGTTTTTTGTTTTACCCTCGGAAAGGCTAGGCTATTGTCTAGCTAATTCAGAGGACTGTTAAAGCAAGATGAGGCATACCTAAACATTTTAATTTATCAGAAATTTTCTCTAACTGGAATTTTCTGTGTCCCACTTGTAGGAGAAAGAGACAATTACAAGAAGAATCTTTCTTGTCCTGGAGTCAGTGTATATATTGCCCTGTGTCCCTCCACCTCTGTAATGAAGTTGCTGAGCAGAAAACAGCCTGGTGTGGTCAAAGGGCCAGTGCATAGAACAGCTAACTGTCCAGGCCTGGCTCTGCTCTCATTCAGCTGTGGGACCTCGAGCAGCCACCTGGCATCTCTTGCTTGCAGGTCCTGTCTGTCAAAATGAGGGGGTTGGGTAAGATTTGCTGTTGGTGCAAAGCTCTTATTACCTACAATTATTATCACATTACTGGGCAATTTATTAACACGTTCTAGTTTTTTTTTTTTTCTTTGCTGAGGAAGATTGTCCCTGAGCTAACATCTGTGCCAATCTTCCTCTATTTTGTATATGGGGCACTGCCACAGCATGGCCTGACAAGCAGTGTTTAGGTCCCCACCAGGGATACAAACATGCAAAACCCCAGGCCACCAAAGTGGAGCACATGAACTTAACCACTATGCCACAAGACTGGCCCCAAGATATTTTTAAAGATCACTGTTTTTAATCTTCACATCCCACTAGGTTGGATAATTTGAAAATATTCTCTGGAGGGTTTTTGTTTATATTTTTGACTTGGTTGTTCAAGAAAATCTGAAAATGTCATGACAACCTGTTTTAAACAGAGATTCTTTAAGAAAAAACATGATCTCTTTGAACCAAAGTAGCCTTTAATTCATCAGTTGAGTTCATTGTGTATTCTCTCATATGAAACACAACCAAGGACTTGACTTAACTCAAAGGCACTCATGAAATGCAGCGTGCCAGGACTATTCTGGAACACTTAGAGTAGGGTTGCAGAATAAAAGTAAAAGAGTAGCTATAAATACAAAGAAATCAGAGATGTTTGCAGTTTTTTTTTTTCCCCAAGAAACTAATGTGCTGTCAAGAAATGCCTGAGTAGACAAGTCCAGGCAAATGAAACATCGCCTCCGGGGAGGCCCAGCACCTCCCCAAAAGCCCCTCTCCCTCACAACTTGTAGAAGCTTGAGGTGAGGGAACTGAATTCATTGACCAGAAAGTTCTCTTGTGAAGAAAGAAAAGTATCTTGAAAGGCAGCTCAGCAGCAAGCAACAGTGAAAGACTTTTTGTCTGTAGTGATCTGTAGTGAATGAGTACTTGCTCTGTTCTCGCAGGAGAGCTGGCATCTGGCATTGCTGTGCTGCATCGGGAGCCTTCCTAATAAACTGTTTCTTTTTACCTTCTTAAAAGCAAATAATAAACCTACGAAAGAAGACAAGTCGACAAAGCCCAGACATTGTAAATGTGACAGAATGCTTTCTGTTCTCCCGTGTTCACTGAGGCTCGCACTCTCCTCTGAGGCCACTTGGTTCACGGTGACCTGATGGCTAGGAGATGGCTTGGTTCACGGAGAGCCTGTAGTGGATGTGGGGCCTCCCACGTGTGAGAGCATCAGAGTGTAGGTGGAAGCAAACGATGCATTTGGCAGTGCCTTGGTCATGGCAAAGAAAGGTGTATGGGGAACCAGGCAGATCCACGAGAAAAGTTAAGGGTGCTCATAATGCCTCAAATACAGCCACACTACTGAAGATTTCCTGACAAGTGCCAGAGGGTGTTTACCTGCCTTGAGAAAGCTAGAAATCCTCCTGTGGCTAAATTTTGGCACCAGAGGATTTTTCTAGTAGCATTGGAACTGCAAAGTCTTACCTGATATTTCCTAGGGGACCCTAAGAATGTATATACCATATTAATTGGAATGGTCTTCCATGAGTCTTGAAAGAAGGGAAGGTTTTCAGCAGTACGCAGAGAATTGCACTGAAGCCCACGGCATAAGGGATGTCATCTGTTCTTTTGTCATGGCTCGGCACAAGAGAACTTCACTTGACAGGGTAAACATTTCCTAACAAGTTGTATTTGGATAAAATGGTGTTTGTTCAATTTGTTCCTGAAAGGTATTTTAATGGAGTTAGATGACTTTTGTTGGCTTTCTTACCATTATATATTAAACTGTTGGAATTCAATTAGACTGTCCAAACTATTTGCTAGAAGGAAGAAAGGAAAGGAGGGAGGGAGGGAAAAGAGGGAGGGTGAGAGAGAAAGAGAAAAGGATGGAAGGGAGGAAGGGAGGAAGGAAAGAAATAATTTGGTGGGGGGAAGAGAGCTCAAGTAAATTTATTCTAAAAATGATATTGTGAGGTACAGATTTCCTAAAGCAAGTACCAATAATATATGTTTATTTTATCTAATTCTCAAAAACAGATTACAACTACCGAGAAGAAAATAATGAAAAATTAGTATCTTTACTATCTTTGAAATGAGAAATAGAACTTCATAATTTATATATACCTATATTCCCAGAAATTTTTCATAATAAATTCCTAGATTGTACCTCATTCTTTCTGAACATGCCAAATATTCAGAATCCCATGGAAGTGGGGGATAGTATACCTTTATTTAAAAATTGAGGACTGAAAATAAAAATAAGTGGTTTTCCAGTGTGGCAGCAACTATTCTAAGGAGAATGTGATCAGTGACAAATGACTGCTTCCCCAGCAGCCAGAACACTATACTCCTTTCCAGAATACTTACTACTCTTCTAATAATGTGTTTGAGAATACGACTTCTTTTAATGCATTTTCCCTGCCAGATTGTGAGTTCCTTGAGAACAGAAACTGCTTAACTTGTTCACCACTGCTCTGCCTGCACCTAGAGCAACGATAAGCTGATGGCGGATGTTGGGTGGATGGTTGGATGGATGACGGTCAGATGGATGATGCTGTCCAAGGGGCGAATGGTTGACCTGCGAGTGACACGCTTACCCAAGAAGCTACTGAGCACACTGGGATTGGCTGTGAGCTGCCCGAGACACGAGCCCTGCCCGTTGTGAATGTGTGGCCACCAGTCTTCAATATATGTTTTGAAGGCCCAGTCTATAGCCTGGACTGAACATCATTAGTGCTTCCCAAACCTTTCCCCAGGACTCATCCCAACACCAATGGGAATAAACTTGTACCCTCTGGGACCTGGGGCCTTCAAGGTCTCACTCTAACCTTGTAATTTTATGATAACTTGATATTCTCTCTAAAATATCCATTTTTTGTCTTCATATAAAATTATTTTCCCAGACCTTCAGCTTGTGCATTGTTTACCAGGTGATGGCTTGTAGTGTCACTGGCACCCCTCTGCATGACCTGGGAAGTCATTCCTGTGCCCTGCTTGAGAATCACAGTGTGAAGATGTTGTCCATAAAATATTACTGCCAACATGAAAATATTGTAGTTGGGAGAGGTAACATTAACTCCCTTTAATATGGAGTCTCTTATCTGATTCCCTTTTTTCACTCAGCAAAGAACAGCCCCCTGACTGAGAACGGGACAGAAGATGAGGGGGTTTGATGATGGAAAGAAAAAAAACCATTCAGAGCCACCTAAAAGGGAAGGTCTGGTCGGTCAGCCTGCTGGTCCAAGATGGTAGCAAATGGGAGTAGACAGGATGGAGACGTTGGACAAGGAGGAAGAAACCAGAGCTTGGATGAAAAAGTCCTTTGCCAAGACTATTCAAGGCAATGGGATGATGGCAGATAAGACTGTGGATAAGTGTAAGGACTTACCATTCATTCCTTCGCCAAACATTTGTTGAGTACTTATTATGGACTAGACCCTGTGCTTAGCGCTAGAAAGCCAGTCCAGTGAGGATGGACACCCATAGAAGATAGACGCAGTAAGCTCTCTGCCAGGTGGTAGCAGAGGAGTGCCATCCGTCCCAAAGTGAGGAGTGCAGGGAGGCTTGCTGGAGGAGGCGATGCCTGAACTTAGTCTTAAAGGACATGGAGAAGTAGATTATGTATTGCTTAATGGCAGGTCCATTATTTTTTGCCTTTAGATGTGTTTTCTTCTGATTCCCAACCCCCGTTAGGGGCAAGCTCATGCTTTAAATATAGAAGATACTCAGCAAATGCATCCAAGTGAAAAAAAACCAAAACCAAGCCAAGAAAAATCTGAATCTCTCTCTCTCACACACACACACATTAAAAAGTATATCAGTACATCATTTACTCTTAGTGAGCTGCTCACAGGAGAGGCTGGTAGATAACACCATAAAAGGGCAGAGAGTGAGGTTTCAGGCAGGTCGTTGGCTCCAGTGTCCCCGCCGGAATGTAGTTGGAACTATATTTATAGAGCATGAGAATAAAAGAATTGCCAGGAAAGAGGCTTGTAACGACTCCTCTCTGCCTCTCTTCCTAACAAGTGGTGGGGGTTTTCTCCCATTTACGAGCCCATTGCATTTTTTCCTCCCCTCTACTGACTATTTTGCTTGAAGTGTCGTGAGCAGGTGCAACATGTAAACTCATGAAGGGAGGCGTACACTAGCAGTTGTGAGGTCTTCTGGTCGTTTTGTTTTGGAATTTTCTTCCCTTTGGTTAATTATCAAGTGCTTGCTATGTAAGAATCAATGAGTAGCTAATTGGAAGCAAGAGAGAATGAAATGGGTATTATTCAGATAGTGTTTTTCATGAAAAGCGTACATGTAATACTGTGGGGAAATATTACTAAATAGCAAGAGATTTTATCTTTTTTTTTTTTTTTTTTTTGGTGTATGTTTACAAAAGGATTTATTTAAAGCCACTCATAAACTAAATCCAGGGATGTGAATCCTTTCATTTTTAGACTCCTCCCAAGGGGTGAGTGCAGGAAGACACCAGGAGGGAGGCGGAGCCTCTGGAGATCTTTCTGGAACCCAAACCACCCTAACTGGAGCCAGAAGGTCTGTCAATTCCCAGAGAGCAGCAAGGAAATGGTAAGTAAATGGCAGCAGTTGCCTAGAGAATTAGGGAATGAATAACAATGCTTTCTGGTAAATTAACCATATTACATTGTGCACAGCAAAGTGATGGAAGAACCTCGTTAAAAATTGAATAATAATTTTCCCACATCATTTATGTAAAATGCATAATTTTCCTACTTCAGTGGACTTTGGTTTGATTTAAAATATGAACCGCTCTAGTACAGTTCACCAAAGCATAATTCGTGAGATAATTGGGAAGGGGAGGAGAAATCAGGCTGTAATCAGCACAATCCTGTGTGAGCCACTTCACCTCCCTCCCGTCCCCTGCAAATTTCGGAAATTGTTTGTCGATACGTTGAAGGTCTCTATGTGAAAGTGTGAGGCATCAATCATTGTCGTTGCTATCACTAAACCATGACCTCACCGTGTGCGAGAGGGGAAAGCAAGGCTTCCCTCTAGTCAGTATTTTTCTGCTCTAATTCAAATAAGTACTTGTTTTTGAATAGTAGGGAAAATGGAAATGTTGCCATGCTTAAAACAGCAAGCCGAGAACAAAAGAAACGTGCAAGCAGCGGAAGGAGACCTTGGAAGATGCGTAGATAGAACAAAAAACTTCGCTTGGCCAGGATTCTGTTTCAGAATCAAATGCAAAATGAAGAACGTTGTTCCAACTATAACGATTTTGCCACCTACGATCTCTGAAATGAAAAGTCGTCACGGAATCCACGTTGACATTCAAAAGCTGTGCTCTTGCGATGAGTGATGGTGTTTGTCCGTGACTGATGTAGGCTTCAGAACCAGAGCTGTCGGCGGTGGGGTGGAATTCCACAGGTGAACCAGCCACCCTTCACTTCGACGCTGCCCTCCCGGGTCAGTCACTGTTGCTTTTCCTCGCTCTCCTCCTTCCCCCATCCTTCACCCCTGCTCCCCACCCCCACGAGAACTATAGAGTTTTCATTAGATATTCAGTCATTCTCTTCATCCTCGTCTCTCCACAAAGGGCCATTATTTACTTACTAAAGTTAGCCCTTAGATTTTTGACCTTTCAGGGCAAATCTGTGGCTGATTCTGTCTGCTTCTCTTTGTTGTCCTAATCCTGCCTCCTCTGTAACCCTGCTGGCCCCACGAGGCTGAACCTTGAACCTCATAAATCTCCATACTTCTCTCTCGGGTGCCCATTTTGGTTGGCCAAAGGGGCCTTCCCAAGTCTTAATACTCTTCCCCACTCTTTGCTTCTCTCCCTCCTACCCCTGCCACTAGCCTAAGATTTATCTGACACTAGGTTTTTCCCTATGCCTCCTGCCACTAGCTAGAAATTGCCTTTTTGCAAATTGGAAAAAGCTATCCTACCTCAAGACACTTTGCTGCCATCAGCCAGAAAATTATTGTAATAGATATGCCAAGAGATGATGTGAATGGTGCCCCCTAGAATTGTGCAGTACACAACTGGCACCGCGGTATGAGACAACGCTGTAGTTGGAAACCACCTGAGTTACCTTGGAAGTCTGTAAAACTCAGAGCCACGGTAGGTCAGTCTTGCCTTTTTATGACAGTTTGCAATTTCAAAATCTAAACCTTTGAGCCTTGATCACAAATTGCTGAGGGGCAGTTTCTGAAAGAGACAAAGAGCCCCCAGGCAGCAGTACTTATAAGAGTAAAGGGCTCTTTAGTCAGCCCTAGATTTGGCCTGCTGGCTGAGCGGATGCAGCCCAAACCACACTGGGTAGAATAGTAGGGGAAATGGAAATGTAGCAGAGCGCCATTAGAATCTCCTAAGTCTGAGTGTTGGGGGTACCGGGGAGCAGGGTACTTGTATTAGGTCAACCATGACTCCTCTTCAGCCTTGGCTGCTTTGTTTCTTGTTGCTTACCCCATCTGTTCCCCTCCCCCCACCTCCTTCACATTCCGCACAACCTGCACGTTCTGGTGATCTTTTGCTGCAAAACAAGCCACCCCAAAATTTATTAGCGGAAACAGAAACAGACGTTTATTTTACTCACAAGTCTGCGATTTGGGCATGGCTCCCAGGGGCCTCTCTGCTCCCCACGGTGTCACCAGGGCAACTCAGATGTGGCTGGAGGAGCCACTTTCACCATGGGGGCTCACGTGGCTGGTCAGTAGATGCAAGCTGCCGCCCAGGAGCTCAGCTGGGGCTTGGGTTCCTCTGCACCTGGGCTCCCAGGTGGCCGTGTGGGCTTGCTCACATGGCGGAGCCCATGTCAAGCCACCAAGTGAACAACCCCAGCTGACTCTTCACGGAGCAGAGGAAAGCTGCCCCTACCAAGCCCTGCCCACTTTTCAAATTTCTGAGTGAAATAAATGTCTATGGTTTTAAGCCACTAAGTTTGGGATGGTTCGTTTTGCAGCCATGGATCACCAGAATGTACAGGCTGGGCTGAACGTGGTGTGAATCCGTTCCCACATTTCTCTAGGATGCCTCCTGATGCTGCAGAGTTGAGGAAGCTAAAAACTACATTTCCCAGACTCCCTTCCCATTAGGATCATGAGGATCAATTACGCTATTACCAATTAGACTTATTTGCACAAAGTTCAGAAGGCAGAAGTGAGGTGGAAGCCAGTTTCTTACAGCTTTTGACTGTTTTCTGCTGGAAAGCAAGATCATGGAGCCACTGATGCCCAGTCTCCAGCTTCACGGGTGTCAAGAGTCTGTTGTGGAGGTGGCAGTGGCTAGACACCACCTCCCAACAAGCAGGCAGACACAGTGGCGGCAGCAGTGGCACGCTCTTCTAGGCTTTCTGACCACTTTCTGACCATTGTATTGCAGCCACGGTGTTCTTAAGGGCAACAGTTCCCGTGGCAGCTTCTCAAGTCCCATCTTCCTAATTGTGGCAGAGGTGGCAGCTCTCGTGGCTGATTGGTTCTGCTGCATTCTGAGAGTCATCCCCGGAGGACCAGCGTAAAGCCCTCTCTCCCAGCTCTTCCACCAAGTCTGTAATTCCCCATATTAAACCTTTTTTTGCTTAAAAAACCTAGTATGGTTTCTATTTCCTACATTGAACCTTGCAGCTGATACTGGATGATCCCCTAAGTTCTGTCCCTTCTCAGCCATCCTTTTGTTCTTGCTGCTTGTTTCTCGTTTAATCGTTCCTTTAACAAATATTTATGGAGGATCTACTATGTGCTAGGCACCATGCTGGACCCTGGAGAAAAATCTATTAACTAAACAGACACGGCCCCACCCTCATGGAAGGAGCCAGAACAAAGACCAAGAGACAGCCAACTACAGCCCTAGGACCAAATCAACCCCCTGCTTGTTTTTGTATAACAGTTTTCTTAGAACACAGCCGCACCCATTCACTTACGTGTTGTCTTTGGCTGGTTTTTCCCCACCATGGCATAGTTGAGTGGTTGCAAGAGAGACAGTATGACCCACAGAGCTGAAAATACTTACTATCTGGCCTTTTATAGAAAAGTTTGCCAACTCCTGAATTAGACAAATAAAACTCCAAGTGACGCTCCTGTTGTCCCCCACATCCAATCGAGGGCTCTCTCTGCCATTCTGCACACTCCACCTGCCAAGCTCCAAGCTCGGTTCTGAGCCCTTCATGAGAATCATCTCACTTAATTTTCACAAGCTTTGGGACATCTTCTTACTACCTCTGTTTTACAGAGAAGGAAACTGAGATTTAGAGAGACTTGGGCTTGAGTGACTGGGTAGATGGTGATAGCATTAACAGAGATAAAATAGGTCTGTCCCCTTCCAGAGGAGACCAGAAAAGAAGCAGGAGATGACGGATTTGATGTGGACTTGTGGCGCACGAGGCACCTGCAGACGTCCGTGAGAGGCTGTCCTGGCTGATTTCCTGCTTGGTGTGGTGGAAAAGTGTGGATTTCAAGTCTGGACCAATTTTAGGTTCAAATCCCAATTCTCCCACTTCACCAGTGGTGTGAGTTTGGGTACGTGACTTCACGTCTCCAAGCCTCTTAGCTTCAGTTTCCTCAGAAGTAAAATGGGCTCATGTGAAGACAAAATAAAGTGATATTCATACGGCATGCAGCATAGTGCTTGGTACACGGTTGTCGTTTGATCCGTGTGGGCAACCTCCCCTTCCTCTTCAGTCTGTTGCTCACAGGTTGGACAATAATCTAAAAGCACAGCTTTGACTGTGTTGTTCTCCTTCTCAAAAAATGTGATGGTTCCCACTGAGCCCCACTAGTGGAAGAAGACACATTTGGAGGCCTGCCCAGCCCCCACCTCTTCTTTAAATTCCCCCCAACACTACGCCCTCTGCTGAAGGTCACATTCTTACCACGTGACCCTCCCCTCAACCAGAACAGGTGAATGATACCAGGGGCAGACACCTGACCAGGAGGAACCAATCCATTGACCAGCCCCTAGCTAATATTGTCTCCTTCAGGTTGGAACCAAGAATCGAGAGGCTGTAGTGATGGACACTTGGCCTACAGGTTAATCTGAGTCAGGGCCAGAGTTGGCCCCATGGGGGGGCAGATGACACCGTCTGCATGGAAGGAACCAGGACAAAGGGGGAACAGTAGCTGGAGATCATGGGCCGCGAGGGAAGGGGTGACTGGCAACAGCTGCTGTCCGTGCTCCTGTATCTGGAGGTCCAGCTGTATTTCCTGAGTGCCATTTCTGTGAGATTGCACGAACCCTTGCAGAAGACCATCTCATCACTTAAGCTAATTCAAGAGTGTTTAGGCCACTGCAGTCCAGCTCAGCTGTTTTGCCAGCCTCATCTCTCCATCTCTCCCATAACCCCACCCTAGATCCTGGCTACACTGGATTGCCTACAACTCCTCAAGCATGCTCTGCACTGCTCCAGTCGTTTCCCCTGGCCTGGAATGTTCTTTTGCCCTCTTTCCTCTTAACAGCCTCTCCATCCTTTGAGGCCCAGCTCAAACATCTGCTCCCTCCTGAAGCCTTCTCTGATCCCACGGTCACAGTGATAGCTCCCTCCTGAGAGGTCCCCACACTTGGCTTCTTGTCTCTCCACAGCATTCGCCACCCACTCTTCCCTGAGTTTTCCTCTTTGTCTCTCTGCTCACTGAGGGTAGGAACTTGGCACACATTAGGCTCTCGGATATTATACTGATTTTAATCCAAGAGTTGGAATCCTAAAATACAATCTGAGTTTCTTCAACACAGAATATCATGCCAATATAAGGCGTTGTTCATTAAAATGGAAATGCATTTAGAGAATGCTTCAGATTAAAGGGATGAAGATCAAAGGGCACATTTTTGGCCAAGAGTTCTGAGTCTTAGAGACCCAAATAAATTGTAGACATTTATTTCCTGAATTGATTGGAACCATAACACTGGATTTGGTGCTGTAATATAAAACTTTCTGAAACTTTTAGCCTGGCGGAGAGTCTGTTGTCTCTTTACTGTGTTAGGATTGTTCTTGTCTAAAGTTAAAGCGCCCGCGCCTATTGCTGAAACTGGCTGGTAAACTGGAAGGCCTGACTTACAAGAAGCTTCCATTGCTGCCCAGGAACCTGAAGAGTGCTGCCCTTTGTCGGAGTTACAAGCATGCCTGGCCTCAAATGTTTCAGGAGAAGGTGTGTCTGTATTGCATGCGGACATGTGTCCACTCAAGTTCAAGATCCTGTGGACCCATATCGAGAACAGAAAGCAGCTGCATGTGCAGACAGCTGCATTTGCAAATGTGTGAGAATTCCCTGATCAGGATCTTGACTACAGTGGGCCCGACAGCTCCTCCTGGGCCCTCCGCCTGGGGCTCAGCCCTGGGCTTGCTCACCCTGCTACATGCCCGGCGTGATGCTCCCCCAAGCCTGAGTGCCCCAGGCTCTCTCTGGCCCAGGGGGCTGGCTTTTGGGTTCTAGGTCATGGGGTGAGCCAACCCCTTGCCCCTGAGCCCAGGGAGGGAGGGAGGCTCCCAAATCCTGAAGCAAAGTTCACCATCTCACACTGACCTCTGACCCTTCCCAAGCTTCCTGAACAAACCCCAACTAGGGCAAGCTAAAACCACAGTTCCCAAACCTGCCTGTGCATTCCCAAAAGGAGAATCTTTAAAAATGCAGGTTTCTTGGCCCCTCCCCAGACTTGCTGAATCAGGCTTTCTCTGGCAGAAGGCCCAGGAATTTGTCGTGGAGGGTGTGTGCGCTTTTCTGTTCTCACCTTCCTCCCACTGGAAACGTGTAGCTGCAGAACAATCGCATGACACTCTTCTTTGGGTTCCTTTTAAACCTACTTGCCTCAGTCCATGGAAATCTCCCACCCTCAACTCTGGTCTGGGCAGCCCTGGCAATCCCGTCACAGTCTGCCTCTGCTGGCAAGGAGGGACACCAAAGAGGCTGGTGACTGGAGCACCCCAGGGCACAGCTGTGGGTGTTTCCCCATGGTGGGGCGGCAGGGCAGTCTTGGCCATGGGGCCTTCAGCTTTTAGAGAAGCCACAGGCCAGGCCAGGTAGGCTTGGCCTGACTCAACCCCTGAAAAAGCAAGTCCTTCTGTGACAGGGACTAGTGACCTGTGGTCAGTCTCGCAGGAGCAGCCCAGAAATCGGACTGGGGTTTGGGGAACAGGATGACAGGGCTCCCATCATACCAGGACGAGATGCCCAGCTCACATCTCTTCTACCACTTGATCTGGGGCTGCAGGGCAGAGAGCTTCAGCCAGGACCTCAACCCCAGCACTTCAAGGAGGTGCCGCCCTTTTGTATTTAATGAACCTGACCTCCAGCAGAAAGTGCCAGAAGATCAAAACTTATAGGGCACAAGGCATTGTTTTTCTGGGCAAACCCCTGGTTTTAGAGATGCAACTGGTCAAACAATATATTGAAAACTCTCTTTGGCTTTATTCCTGCCCCCTACCTTGTCCTTTTCATAATGAGAATGTCTCCATGAGAAATGGCCTCCAATGTCCTATCCCTGGGCTGGCCACATTGAAGGGACGCCCTGCCTCACTGCTATGCCCTCTTTTGATAAATATAACTATCTCAAGTACCTCCCCTTACCCGTCAGAGATTCAAATATGCTCCCGCAGAGGATGGGGCCACGGTTGGACGGAGAAGCGCTGCTGTGGGGAGAGGATGCCGGCATCCACAGGGACTTTCTCCAGAAGCTGAATGACTCTAGAGCTTCATGCCCCTTGGGCTTTCTTCAAACTGAAAGACCCTCACATAAAGTTGTCCTCCCCGTCCGGCTCACAGGGCCATCCTGCAGTTTGTCTTCGGCCCTGGCTGGTCAGCTCATCAGCTCTTACCTGGCTGGCTGCCTCCTGGCGAGCTCACTGCTGGCTCAGGCAGTTGAGACAACAGGGGCTGAAATTTTAGTTAAATGCAGACTCCTGGACTTTTCTGATCCTGGGGCGAGACCCAGAAGTCTACATTTTTAAATACGTAAAATTTTTCTTTTTGATGGCACGTGTCCACAATTCATATGTTGAAGCCCTAGCCCCCACCAAGTACCTCAGAATGTGACTGTAATGTGTCAAAACCTAATGTGTGTTAAAATGTGTCTAAACCCATAAATATAGACTATGGGCAAAATAACTTAAAAAAATGTTTTAAACAGCTTTATTGAGACATAATTCACATACCATACAATTCGCTCATTTGAAGTATCCAATTTAATGGCTTTTTGTATATTCATAGAGTTGTCCAACCGTCACCACAATTGATTTTAGAAACGTTTTCGTTACCCCAAAAGAAGCTCCACACTCGTTGGGTATCAGCCCCCACCCCATTCCCTTCCCACCCCCTCAGCCCTAGACAGCCACCAATCTATTTCTGTCTCTATAGATTAGCCTATTCTAAACATTTCATTTAAATGGAATCATACAATACGTGGTCATTGTGACTGGCCATTCTTTCATTTAGCAGAATGTTTCCAAGGTTCATCCATGTTGTAGAATTTATTGGTACTTTTTTTATTGCCGAATAATATCCCATTGTATGGATAGACCACATTTTACTTATCCATTCATCAGGTGATGGACATTTGTGGTGTTTCTACTTTTTGCCTATTGTCAAGAATGCTGCTATGAAGACTGTACAACTTTTTGTGTAGACATATGTTTTAAATTCTCTTGGGTATACACCTATCAGTGGAATTACTGGATGACGTGGTAACTCTATCTTTAACCATTTGAAAATACTAAAGTTTTACTCAAATTATTGTTATTCAAACTAAATAATTGAGGAGAGATATTCCATCTTAATGGATCAGAAAACAATACTATTAAGATGTCAGTTCTCTCTACATTGATCTGCAGAGTCAATCCTATCCCCATCAAAATCCCAGCAGAAATGTTTATGGAAATTGACAAGAAGATTCTAAAATTTATAAGGAAATAGAATGGAATCGCAAAAACCATTTTGACAAGAATAGCAAAGTTGGAGGACTTCTCCTGCCAGATTTGAAGACTTACTGTAAAACTGTGAAACACAGTATGATCGGAGCAAGGGTTCCCAAATAGACCAACGGAACAGAATAGAGACTCCAGAAAGAGACGCACACGTGCAGAGTTATTTGATTTGCAACAAAGGCACCACTGAAATCTAATAGGAAAAGGATGGTCTTTTCAAGATAATGTCACCAAATCATTTGCATATCCATGTGGAAAATAATGAACTTTCACACACCACACACAAAAATTAATTTGAGGGAGGATTATTTTCCTAAATATGAAAGGTAAACAATAGGTCTCTAAAAATAGTGGAATATCTTCACGACCTTGGAGTTGACAGAGCTTTCTTTAAACAATTTCAACTGTCAATGTAGAACATGATAAATTGGACCTTATTAAAAATAAGAACTTATGTTCATCAAAAGTAGCATTAAGCAAGTGAATAAGCGGGTCACAGACTTGGAGAAGATATCTGCAATACATATTTCCAACAAAGTACTCATACCCAGAATATATAAAGAACTACAAATCTCTAAGAAAAAGACAATTCGTTTAAAAACAGGCAAAAGACTTGAACAGGTCCTTCACAACAGAGGATGGCAATAAGCATAGGAAAAGGTAGTCAACAACATTACCCAGCAAGGACCTGCACATGAAAATCACACTAGGATAGCACTGAACAGCTAGCAGCGAAAGGACTGACATACAATGTTGGGTGTGGACGTGGAGGAACCACAGGTCGTCCATTGCTGGGGGGAGTAGGAATTTGGTCCACCACTTTGGAAAACTGGCGGTGAAGTTAAGCAGATGCCTACCACCCTAGGTCCCAGCAATTCCACTCCTGGGTATATATCCAAGACAAATTAGTGCACACGCCACCAAAAAGACTCGCACATGAATATCCATAGCAGCTTTATGCCAAAAACTGGAAACAATCCAGAGGTTCATCAACAGAAGAATGGACCAGTGAACGGTGGATAAATTCCTACAGAGAAATATGCTACACAGCAACAAAAAAGAACAAAGTATTGATACACGCTGTAACACGGATAAAAGCTCAAAATTCGAATGTTGCATGAAAGAAAACAGACACAACACAGTACATTCTGTATGATTCCATTTATGTGAAGTTCAAAAACAAACAGAACTAACCAATGGTGATAGATGTTAGCCTAGTGACTCTCTTGGGGTTGAAGGATATTAACTGGGAGAGGGTGTTGAGGAACCTTCTGGAGTGAAGGAAATGTTCTACATCTTGATCAAGTTGGTGGTTACATTAGTGTAAATGTAATAAAAATCCACTGAGGGGCTGGCCTGGTGGCGTAGCAGTTAAGTGCGCACATTCCACTTCTCGGCAGCCCGGGGTTCGCTGGCTCAGATCCCGGGTGCGGACATGGCACTGCTTGGCAAAAGCCAGGCTGTGGTAGGCATCCCATATATAAAGCAGAGGAAGATGGGTATGGATGTTAGCTCAGGGCCAGCCTTCCTCAGCAAAAAGATGAGGATTGGCAGCAGTTAGCTCAGGGCTAATCTTCTTCAAAAAGAAAAAAAATCCACTGAGCTGCACACTTAAGACTGGTGCACATTACTGAATGTAAGTTATTCCTCAATAAAAAAATCAAATAATTGAGAAAGACTACTCATATTAAAAGAGACTTTATAAGGACTTAAATTTAAGTCTACTCTCTCTTTGGGGGGCAGGTGGAAGTTTTAATGTCTCTGAGACTCAGTTTTTCATCTGTAAATAGAGATAATACCTACCTCATGTATATTAATTTGATAATGAGGTAATATATATGAAATACGTCATTTAACTGCTCTCTTCCTCAGTTTTCCCATCTGTATAACGTGTATAAAAGTAGTAACTATAGTAACTACCTCATATCAGAAGGTAATTCTGTCTGAGCTAATTCACATAAAGCACTAAGCACAGTGTCTCACACAGGAAGCTCTCAATAGATGCTGATAGTAGATGTTGTCCACATTACGAATATAAACTAGATTGACTTCAAGGCCCCACTCAGCTGCTGTAGAAGTCTATAAATAAATGAAAGCCAAGAAGATTTGGTGCATGGCCTATGACTCCTGTGACAGAGCTGAGATGGAAAACCAGGTCCACTGACTCCCCGCCCCGAGGTCTTCCCACCCCCCCATGGGGCCTGAATCCAGGGAAGTATTAATTCTGCATTGATTTGTATGTGCCTGGCCCTCTGGGTCTGTCTGCCAACAGGGTTTCTGTGGCCGTGAAGCATAAGGTGGCCTTGAACACGAGGAGGAGAGAGACTTCCATCTCCTTTTCTTCCCCTATGGGTGGGGCGCTTAGATGACTACGCCTCCTAAATTAACCCCTGATGTGCCATGTTCTGCTCTAACCAGTTTCCACGTAGTAAGGCTGTTAGCCCCTATAGTTGAGAGAACTGGAAAACAGGTGGCTAAGGGACTTGCCCAAGGTCACACAGCCAATAAGTCGGGGATGCCAGGAACTGGGTGCCGACTGCCCAGTGCCAGAATCCACTTCTACTTTCTGCACTGTGCCACCTTCTCTGGCGCGGCCCAGTTTCTATGGGACACCCTCGGTCAGAAATCACCCCTTGAAGCTTTGTGCCTCCTCTCTTCTCCACTTCGTCTTTCTTAGGATTGAAGGAGTCGCTTCAGCATTAGTGTTCCAGGTCTTCACCAGAGCAGAGTTCATGGCCCCCAGTGCCACCCAGCCTCCTCTGCGGCCCCACCCAGTTCCAAACCTGCAAGGCGCCTCTTGTGCGCTGGCACTTGGGGATGCTCCAGGTCTAACCCTGATGTGCCACTTCATGTTTTCGAAGATGACACTCCCTTCCTCCAACACCCACCCCGCCACCCCCTCGGCATCCCCTTCACCCTTCCAAACTCAACATCCACCTTTTTTTGGAGAGCAACGATTTGTAACATCTTGGGCAGCCTAGCCGTTGCCATAAGCAAGTCTTTCAGAGCTATGTGGTTTGCGGCTGAGGTGTGTGAAAAGCCCTCAACGCTGTAGACTCCAGGGTCCCCACGTGTTCACAAATGTCAACCTGTGCAATCCTGCTGAGTCAAAGGCAGAGCTGAAAATGCGGATTCTGCAGCAAATCTGGGGGCTGATCTGGATTTCAGTGTAAAAAGCCCCTAAAAATGTTTGGTTCAGTGAGTTCTTTGGGGGAGCCTTTGTCCCAAACGAGAATTCTAATGTAGAACCGTGTAACCATGTGTCAGAGAATAAAACTGTCACCCACACTCCCCGTTTGTCTTTCTAATTCTTTGTTTTCTCTGAAGCCATCATCCTATCCTCCAGACAGGTGTCTCTTTGGGGTCGGAGGGTGGTGCCTTCAGCGTGACAGGTTTCCTGCACCAAGAAAACCTCCCCATATTAGAAGCTGTGCTGAGCTAGGATTCGGGGAGATGCCGTGTGCCAGTGTCTGACATCTCTCTCTCCCTCTGCAGACCCTCATTTTGTCGTCTGTTCTGCTCCTAAGGTCTCCAGCTGATAGAATTTGCAGCCCCGGAAAGGAAGCAAGCGGCTGTTAAAGCACACCAGCTAGCTGCCTGTCACACGGGAAACTGGGCTTTTTCCAGACCCGAATTTATGCCTATCCTGCACAAACTTTATACGGAGCCATGCGCTCTTAAAAGTGATTTACTCACGAGGTGTCAGATGGCAGGAGGCAGGCCTTCAGGAGACTTGTGCTAACCCCGCTGGCGTCACATGTCACATAACGACAGCACCTGAGGGTCAGAGCAGGTCTCCGAAGGGCCTGGAATCACAAAGATCCAGGGGAAGCCCCTCCCGGGCTGAGGTGGCAGCCGTGTTTCCTGGTTGGCTTTCAAGCCTGACAGGCGTAAGATAGAAGAGGCCACAGGAGTATCTCCCACTGCTTTTGTGGATGGCAGAAAACCCATGTGCAGTAGCCTTCTTTTTTTACCAATACACACCCAAAAAGAGTCTGTACATATTGAAAGGAGAAAAGAAAAAGAAAAAATGAAGGGAAAAAAGTATTTATATATTTAAAATATATATATTTAAATTTGGAAGACAATGCATTTTTTAAATATTTGTAGAAGGGACCAAATTTGCCTCCGCTCTTGAGTGAATAATGGAGAGAGGAGTGGAGCCCAGACCTTAGGGCTCTTCCGGGGACACGCAGTGTGGACCAGGAGTGGAGCTACCTGATGGGGCCAAGGCCGAGCTGTGGTGGGAAAGGACTCGCTTCTTGCACCAGGACAAGTGGCCTTGTGCACTGAGACCAAGTGTGGACCTCCATGTCAAGCCTATTTGTACCAACACCTAACTCCCAGAAGGTAGAAAAGAACACCTTGATGTTCACCCTAAGTCTTTGTTCTGTTCAGTAGGCAAACCTAGCTGCCAGGCTTTGCCCTCCACCGTGGGCCATGGAAAATTATTTTGGGACTCTGATATCCCACACTTATGACACATAGATCCAAAGAGAATATATGATCTAGCTTCCTTGTTTTGACAACCTCAAACAAAATGAGTGATGGGTACTCTCTCGCTGCTATTTCAGTTTAAGATTGAGGCTATCCCAGGGGTCTAATTTGCTCTGTGTATCAGTCAGGGAAATTAACACCAGTTGCAGTAACAAAAGTCTCAGAAGTTGCAGAGGCTTAATACAATTTAGTCACACTCTAGTCTCATGTGGGTTGAGCATCTCTCCTCTGAGCTGTGGCTCAGGCTCTTTTCGTCTGGTGGCACCACCATCCCTTAGAGCTTCTATGAAGCCCTCTACTGGATCCCCTGCCTTCATCTGGCCATCAGTGAGGGACAGTGAACTGACAGTCTAATGGGACATTTTAGAGGCTGGATCTGGAAGTGGCATTTATTACTTCTTCTCACATTTCATCAACCGGAACATGTTGCACATTTCATCTAGAAGCAAGGAGTCTGGGGAATGTCTCCTCATGTGCTTGAAAGAAATTGAATTGGTGAGAATCTAGCTGTCACAGCCACATCTGGGAATGGTGGTGAACCTGAACTAGGAGTTTAGGGCCTAATAGTACCCGTGTCCTACCTAGAAGGAACACTTAATAATCCCATTCCATCCTGATATACATTTATGTCACCTACATAGTTTGATTTCTAGACTGTTAGAAAGCTCTCCTGCTCCAAAATACCTTCTCTAGCCTGACTATTCTGGAACTTTACCATTAGAGAAACAGCCCATTGGGTTCAACACTGTCTTGATCTTCTCTTTCTCTGTTAAAATGTGTCCCAGTTATCAACTTATCGCCTCCAAACTCTTCCTTCATTGCCTGTTCTTCAAAAATGGACCTGTACCCTTTAAATATTTTGCCTTTGCAGCTGGCACGATGTTACGCTTTGTCAACAGAGGATGCTGGAGAGACACTGCAGGAGAAGGGTTTTTTTGTCCTGGTTCCCTTATGCTTGCTCGGCAGCCTCCTGTGGCTTGCCAGGCTCTGCAGCACTGGCAGCTTCTCCAGTGCCCAGCTCCTCTAGTGCACAGTGACCAGCAGATTCCCTGGCACTTCCCTACCTCAGGTGGTTTTGCAGCAGAGTATTTCTGGTGAGACATGTCCCTGTGATCAACTTTCCCTGACACCCTAGAGGTCAGCTTTCCAGCAAGTTCCACCAGTACAGCACCTTCTCTGCCATCCAGTGAGCCACAGCTGTGCCCTCTTCAACAAGGTCTGGATCTGAACCCAGGAGGCCTCTTCCTCCATTACTTTCTCAGCCCTAAGCGTAGCTGTGGCTCCTCATCTGCCATTCCTATATTCTTCAGAGCTCTCTTGACTTCTTACTAACTCTGTGTTACTTTAATCCCCTGTTACCAGTTAATAGTTCTTTATATTATATTTTCCCTATCTATATTACCACGTAGTTTCTCTCTCTTGACTGGATCCAGAGTGATATGGAATGCAAATGCCCTTGGGGTAAAATTCATCAGAAGTCAATGACGTTTTGGTGTGAAATACTTTGTTTTGTTTCCCTGGCACCTAGAGAGCAGTAAGTGCCTTGGAGCTGAGAGACGGGACAGTACGAAGAAATACTCAGCAAGGGATGATGGAAAAGTCCTAATGACAAATTTTGCCTATTTCACAGTTTTGCCATGGGCTGACTATAGCTGTTAAGTGTTAATCTTTATTTCAGAGCAAAGCGTCTTTCATTCCCCAGGGTCAGCTTAACAGCACCAGAATAGAAGGAAAGCACTGGTTTTTCTGGTGAAGCAGCAACTATTGTACTTTGATAAGCTCAGTACATTCCTCCCTTTGTTATTTTGTTTCTTAATCACACATAAAAGTCTGTTGCCATATAAAACATGAAGAGAACAGCTCTGGACGTTTTATTTCATTGAACGGAGCTGGGCTGCTCCCCGGGTGTGCATTAGCTCCTTCAGACAGGACGTTATCACCTTCAGGCTGCAATGAAAATGAGAATCAAAACCACGAGGATTGTCAGACGATGAAATGGCTCAGTTAAGGAGAGGCTGCTGTTGCCTTTCTCTGGGGGTTGTTAAAATAGGATGGCAGCTGTGTCTTTAGGATGGTGTAAGTGTGGTCTTGATTAAAAACTAGAGTAAGGGGGCTGGCCTGGTGGCATAGTGGTTAAGTTCGATGCGCTCTGTTTTGGCGGCCTGGGTTCAAGGGTTCAGATCCCGGGCGCAGACCTACCCCACTCATCAAGCCATGCTGTGGTGGCAACCCACATACAAAATTGAGGAAGAGGAACACAGATGTTAGCTCAGGGCCAATCTTCCTCACCACCCCCCCCCCCACAAAAAATATTGGAGTAGGAAGAAGACAACAAAGGTCCCTTCCAACTTAAAAATAAAATTTTTTTTTATCAAAGTAATGTATCTACACAATTTAGAAAACAAATGGTACAGAGAACTTATTTAGAAAGTCAACTGTCTTCGTTCTTACCCTCCTTCTCCCACAGTCCCCTGATCCTGATCCCCAGGTCTCTTCATGTTGTGTGGTATACCTTTTTCATATTCCTTCTTCAGCATTTTAATGGGTCCTTGGGAGACAGCAAAGAGAAACCCATGTGCCCAGTCCACCATCTTGAAAAATAAGCCTTCCTCTCAACGTTGACTCATTTTTTTCTTAGGCAAGAACATAAGAAACAGAACACAGTGTTCTGAAAATTCTCTGCTTACTAAATCAAAATGTATATATATGCGTGTCATTTAAACATGTCATGGAAACACACTGCATCCATCTAGTCTAGTCTTTTGACCTTCTAGATATTTCTCTATCCTTTTGGCCGCTTCGGTTCAGAACCCAGCCTTCTTGTCCTCATCCATCTGGTGCTCTTTGGACGTTACCTTGAACATCTACATTTTAATGAATACTTTTGATATAGACCAACCGTTACAATAGCAGATTGTAACATTATCGCCAGAATAAAAACAGTAATGTTGCCAATAGTGTATTGGCTACAGTCCCACAGTGCTATGCCCTGCAAAGAGAGATGAAACAGCACAGCAGCTAGAAGGAAAGTGGCGGAGGTGTGGGGTCCTCACACGGTGTCCTTCCACTCTCCGAGGAGGGTTATCCCATCTCACCATCGCCTGCTCCTCAGCTGGGGCCTCTGTGTATCCCCCCACCTTGTGCCCTTTCTGACAGAAAAATGGAGGGCTGGGCGGTGCACAAAGAGAGAAATTAGGCTAAAGTGATCTTTACCCAACCGACTGCTAGTTAATCCATCTCTGCTTCACTTTATCCCGATTTCACTTTTCCTCAACTCCTCCAACACCACAGAAAGCCCTCCCTGACAGGCTCAGAAAAGCTAAAGCCATGTTTTAATTTGTCAGCAGCATCACACTCAAGTGCCTATAATCTCATGGCCACTAGTCCATCATCTTTGTTTATTAACAACTGTTTTAAAAACAGCTAAGTAAACAACACTCATAGAAAGCAACTTTATCTGGGCTGGTTTTAGTGACAGAGAAAGGGCTGGGACATCTACTTTGCAGAAAAATGCCATCGAAGCTCCTTAGCACATAATACATTTTAGCAATCAGAGCCAAAATCCAAAAGCATAATAAAGAAAGGCAAGTAAAAATGCTTATAATCGTCCTATTTTAAATGCCTTATTTCCTGCCAATCTTATATCCATTTCAGGAGAAGCGAAAGTTGCCCACTCTGCCAGTGCCTTTGTCAGCTGCCAGCTGTTACTTCCCTGGAAAAGGGGTCAGAAGGCTGCTGGTAGCTAATAGCCAGCCAGCAGCTCCGAGTAAGAACCGTCCCTCATGGGCTTTAGCTGCTGGCTGATTGTCAGCCGAGAGCTACAAGTTCTGGTTTGATAAAAGCCAGCTATAGATTTCAAACCTGCTTTTTTTTCTTTTTCCATTTGTGCTCTGAAATTGTCGCACACTCCAAATGGAACTCGGTGAGCACACGGGCCTTTATTCTGCCTTGTTGGGCACCAGCAGTTAGTGTCGTCTCTAGACAGTACTTTGCAGGGTGGGCCAGTGGGGTGAGGTGAAGCGGGATGAGGCGGGAGGCGGGGGTTCGGGGCTGGATGAGCTACCCAATGCCCGATGGCACGTGTGAATCCTGAGTGAGGATGGACCGGGCACAGAGGGTTTCATGCTTGGTCTGAGATCCAGCCTCAGACTCTTTGGTTGTTTTTTGTGACAGCGGGAGTGGAGTGGGATGTGCTCATAAGTTAGAGTCAGAATTTATTGACTGAAACTCCCTGAAATGAAATGACTCACCAGCTCGATGTGCTGGGCATGAAATCCAAATCTTAAACTGCCTCAAGGCTCCCAACTGTTCCCGTAGGCCAGCAATCCAGAATTACCTTCTCTGAGACACAGTGTGGAACTCCGAGCTCTGTAGATTTCAGGGGGTCTGGGGAGCGGTAGGGGGGCAGCAGGAATTCTGTACAATGATGTGCTTTAAATTCAGATGCTGAGGGGCTGTCATGTGCAATGCATCAATGGCGAGAAATAAACACCCAGCAGAAGCCGGCTTTGAGTTAAGGCGAGTGCACAATAAATTTCAGCTGGCTAAATTAATCGCTCACTGCTTGTTGTGAATATTAATCCCAGGGAGGGAGCTGGCTTCAACCCAATCAAAAGACAGGTGGAAACTGCAGACAGCAAAACATTTGGGATCTTTAGAAGGAAGGCTTACCGGTGAGCCAAGCATTGATGCTGAGTCCCAAAGAGAAGCAGAATCTGAAAAACAGCCCTCTTGCTTTATAGACACAGCTGTGCTGCAAGGACCAGCTAACCCTGCCCTCAGCCCCGCCTCTCGCCTCTAGGGCCCCCCAGGGACTTGTATGGAGGAGGGTCTTGCCTGAGGGTGTAGAAGATGAAAGAGCCAAGACTCCTAATATTTTTTTATTGAGGTAAAATATACGTAACACAAAATTTACCATTTTAACCATTTCCAAGCGTATAAGTCAGTGGCCTTAAGTACATTCGGAACGTTGTGCAACCATTACCATTATCAATTTCTAGAATTTTTCCATCATCCCAAACAGAAACTTTGACCCACTAAATGATAGCTCCCTGTTCTCTCCTCTCCCAGCCTCTAGTAACCTCTCTTCTGATTTCTTTCTATGCATTTGACATTCTAGGAACCTCGTATAGGTGGCATCATACAATATTTGTCCTTTTACGTCTAGCTTATTTCTCTTAGCATGATGTTTTCAAGGTTCATGCATGTTGTAACCTGAATCAATACTTCATTCCTTTTTAAGGCTGAATATTCCATTGTATGGATATAACACATTTTGTTTACCCATTCTTCCGTTGATGGATATTTGGATTATTTTCACCCTTTGACTACTGTGACTAGTGCTGCAATGAACATGTGTGTCCAAATATCTGTTCAAGTCCCTGCTTCCAGTACTTTGGGGGATACGTTTCTATTTGAGGAATTGCCAAACTGTTTCCTAACTTGTTTTTAATATTTCTAAAATTTCTGATGTAACAGAAAGAAAAAAAATCATTACAAAAAGATAAAATGATGATCACTTTTGGCGTTTAGGGACTAGTATTGATCTCAGTGGTAGATGCCTGTTTTTGGAATGACCTTGATGGATCATGGTTGGCTGTGAAAGGTGAGATTCCTTTCACTGGTCAGGAAGGAGAAAGTTACCACCAAGCAAAGGAACTTGATGGTACTGCCTGATAAAGTTGCAAGAATATTGTCTTCCCTGGTGGTACTGAGACGGGGGTCTAGGGCCCTGAAAGGAGGGAGAGAAGGGGTCTCTGGAGAGAGGGGACCAAGCTCTATACCACCCAGGTCAGGGGATCCTAAGGTAAAAGATGGCCAATGAGATATTCGCCAAGACAAAGATGGCCAGTGAAGCTAGAATGCCTCATAGTTGCTTCTAAATTGCTCTAATAATCTTACTTGGTCTGCCCTGGGCTATAATTCCCCTCCACTGTCCCTAAACCTTCAGCTAAAATCTGTTAAGTGCAATGGAGTTGTGATATTGGCCCTCTGAGCAAATAGGAAGAATGAGAGCGAAGCCCAGAGTCACATGCAGGCAGGAAAGCCCTGCTTAGGAAACGTTCCAACAGGCCGGAAACCAAGACTCACCCTCTCAGAGACGAGAAAAATGCACAGCCTGTGAAACAGAACTGAGTGGGTCTCGGGGAGTGGGGGACACCAGGGCAGCTTAGATTAGACCTAACTTCCCATCACTACAAGGAACATCCCCAAGCAAGTCGTTCTGGGGCAGGTCAGCCCTGAGCGATGAGGAGCAAGGACTGGCCTTGGCACGTGAACTTGCTCAGACAGACCCACCCCACACTGCCACAGGACCTTGTAAAGTGCTGTCGGCCTCAGGAAGGCCACTGTGGGTGTCAGAACCTTGATTCTGCTGCTCAGATAGGGTCACCTTGTCCAGAGAGCCATCTAGAGAAACACAGGGGAGTTTCTTTAATCAAGGCTTTAAGCAACAACAGCTTTGCTGAAGTGACCGAACCTGCACTGCGGGAAGAATTAGGAGTAGTTTTATCAGTCTCTAGTTACACTTTTACACAAAAAACTGAAAGACTCACCAGCATTCTGGTTCCAAGACAAGTCCTGTGTTTCTCTTCGCTAAGGGTCTGGGGACGCAGCCTGTGTGACTAAGGGATTCCCCTCTGGGCTCCTCGGTGCGGCCTCTCTTCTGCACCTCCTGCCTTGTTCCCAGGCCTCATAGCCTGCTCTGCACGGGTGTTTATACCCGCATCAGGGCCCTTATCACTAAGCCTTAGTCTTTGCCATGTAAAGAGGAAAGCAATTGATACAAAAAATAAATCACTGCAGGCGTGTGTCTGAATTCTGGAGGTGTGCGATGGGTGTGCAGGGGAAGCCAAAGGAAAATGGCTTGATTGTTTAGGAAAACACCTGTTTGGTTACGAACGGTGAGCCTCCCAGCACAGTCTGGAAGGAGAACTCAAGTGATCTGCATAATGAGACGGCAGGAATTTGGGGGTTTTCCCCAAGCACCAAGAGAGACTGGTGTCCCGTTACCCAGAATAGGGTGAAAGCTGTCCATCTGCACAGGCTCCAAAAAATGGCTGGGGTCAGGGCTTAAGGAGAAAGTACCTCCAGTGAGAAATTCTCCTTGACAGGCAAAGCTGAGGATCCTCAGAATAGCAGTGCCACCCTTGGGTCCTGTGCTTTAGACCCTGGCTGCTCAAACTGTGGGCCACAGAACAGCAGCATCAGTATCACCTGAGACAGAAGTGCAGACTCCCAGGCTCGTCTGGGCTTACTAAACCAGATCTGTCATTGAAGAGATCCCCAAACAATTTATATGGACACTAAATTTTGATAAGAGATGTTTTAGAGCATTGGCCTGCAACTTTGGCTGTACATTGGAATTACCTAGGAAACTTAAAATACTGACAGCCCCCCACAAGAGCTCTCAGGTGATTCGAATATGCAGCAAAATCTGAGAACCGCCGCCTTGGAGGGCTCCCATCTGGCCTTTTTCCAGCTATGCTCCTATGCGCAGGGCGAGGTGTCTGTGGGCCAGTGATGTACTGATAAACAGGCTCTCTAGGAAAAAAACCCTGATTTGTAGATTGCAATGTTTGCCAGGTCCCATTGTGTAAATATTCTCACCACATCATAGCTGATTTCAAGCTACCAGTGTGATGCCAGTGAAAGTGGAGTTAGGAAGAGCTGATTCCTCCCTCAGGAGCCTTTGCTAGCCAGCCCAGCACTGCATGGGGCCAATGGGTGTGTCCACACTGAGCCTCTCCCCTCCTTTGGGACCACAGAATTCCCTGATCTTATGCAGGCCTCTTCCCAAAGGGGGTGCTACAGAGTTCAAACGTGGGCTGGGGTGTTCACACAGCAGGTCCCTCATGGGCAGGATGGAGCTGGTGTCAGGCAAAGCGTGGGAGAGAGAGTGAGAACTGGGCCTCTGTTAGTCCTCCTGCCCCATCCCTGTAAATGTAGGAGTGAACCTGCAGAATGGTCATGCCCCATTTTGAATTTGCAGGTCTTTGCTGAGCTCTGCCATGGTGTGGTGACCCTCTGCTATCACCAAATATTTCTAGTCCTTAAGAACAGTTTTGGCTTAGGTGTGCTTTGGGGAATATGGGGGAGAGACGGTGCTCTTGCACTGGGTGAGGGAAGGGGACAGAGGACAGCAGATGCTGGAGGAAAAAGAGAACTTAAAGGGATCAAGAATTTAAGTGGGAATAACCAAGAGAATATAAGTCAACCACTACCACCCAGAAATTCTTGGAAATGTTGGGGAAGCTGCTGGACTTCCCACAGGATGTGGGAGACGGACTTGAGTCATTTTCTTTGTTTGTTAAGGGAAAGATGATCTCTAAAGTCTGGACCATTTAGGTCAGAGCCCAGAGCCTGGAGTTAGACTGCATGGGGTAAAGTCCCAGCTGCACCACTTACTAGCCTTGTGGCCTTGGGCAAGTGGCTTCAGTTTCCATTTCTGTGTCTCCCTTACCAGCCCCAGGAGTGTGTCAGAGGAGGCAGAGAGCATGCGGACGGCGGACAGTTGGCCAGATCTGGGGCAGGAAAGGGTCAAGGGGAACAAAGGACCTGGTGGCAGTCACAGTGGAAGGCCTGGAGGGGTGGAGCCAGTGAGGAGGCGAAACAACCCCCTCTGTGAGAGGAGTCTCTTGGGAAGATGGTACCCTGAAAGAAGGGCACCCAGAGCCGACGAAGGGAAGTGATTAATGACAAGGAGTCGAAGACAAACATTACCTCCTTCTCAGGTGTCGTTAGCCTTGGACCTCCCTCTGCCTCCAGCCCAAATGCCAGTTAATATTTCCTTTAAAATAGTCAGAGTGTGAGGGCTTGAACCCCACCTATTGCCAGAAATTAAGCTCCCTCAAAGGGCCTGAGAGCAACCCAGAATGCTGACGTTTCTGCTGTGTGTGTGTGTGTGTGAGAGACAGAGAGAGAAAGAGAGAGAGGTTGTCTCATGGGTTATCAAGGTCTCATGGCTTTAGCTTCCTTGTCAGCCTCAGTGCCAGTCAGGGGCCGGCTCCCCTTCGCTTGTCTGTTTCCAGCTTAGAACTAGCCCATCTTCAGGGAGTCCCAGCCTACAACTTCTTCTCTTAGACTAGCTCACCTCCTCACAGAGGACATGCCCTCTATATAGGGTCCTGGCCCTATCCAGGAGGCCCCAAGAGAGGAAGATCTTATTCTCCCATTTTGGTCTAAGGCTTGTCCTAGTCCTCAAATCCTTCCTATGGTTGAGCTCGTCTCAAGATTGCTAGTAACGGAAATGCTCACAATCTTCGGGGAAAACCTATCTCCTACCTAAAGCTCTTGTGGGGGAAGGGGGTTTGAGATGCAATTATAGCAGGAAAATCCCAATAAGGCAATCAAATCAAAGTCAAATAGAAGTCTTGTAGAATATTACATGCCTAGGACATAGGTTCTGGTGTCATCAGGGACCCAGATTCCTTCCAAGTTGTTGCTCCACCATCCTTGGGGTGTTGCTATCAACCACTTGGTCCCCAAGAGCTCACCCCCACCACTAAATCCATGGTCAAGCCAATGAGAAGGGGAAAGAAGAGGAGAAAGGCATGCCCCTTTGCTTGAAGGGCATGACACTTCTCATATCTCATTAATCAGAGCTTAGTTCACACGACCATCCCTACCTGCAGAAAGGCTGGGTAATATAGTCTTTATTCTGGGTGGCCATTTGCCCAACTAAAGATTCTATTACTATGGCAGAAGAAGAGAATGGATACTGGGGTTCACTCTCAGCCTCTGCTCTAGGCATCAACAACCCAAACTAGGTTGAGCCACACCAAGCTCAGTCCAGTTTCTTGAGAGGGTCTCCTGGGGAAGGTGAAGAACAAGTCAGCTTACCCTTCCAGGAGAGCCATGGTGAGCTTTCAGAAGGGTCTTGCTTGTCATGCTTTTTCATTATCTTAAGATAAGAGCAAAGTGCCCAGTGGGACAAAGACTGTTTCCACAGGGAACCCAAAAGGCCGGCATGGACCTGAGGCCCTGCCTTCACTGACATGAAGACACGCAGGCTCTCCTCCACATCTTGACCCTGTGCTGAAGAGAAAAAGAGAAAAATGCCAAAAGACTGAATAATTACCAAAGAGAGACCAAACTGAGAGACTGAATTCACCCTGACTGGCAAGCATAAGGTCTTTTCCCTACTTTTGAGTGAAATGTGAGCTCATGAGGAAAGCTAGAATGGTATAGAAAAAAAGGTTGTGGGTTTTTTGTTTTCTTTTGGGTTTTTCTGGCAAAATCTCATAGTAGAATCTCTCTGTCTCTCTCTCTCTCTCTCTCTCAACACACACACACACACACACACACACGCAGAGTAAAATTTACTGGCCTTATTGGTTTTCAGATGCAATTCTAAGAACATCTTTCTTATAGATAGCATTGCTGTCCCTCTTTACGCTTGCTTCTATATGCATTCTGCCAACCAGGCAAAGCTGAAAGGGAAGATCTTTTAAATTAAGAGAATACATAATTTTTCTCCTGCCAGGAAGGTGTGAGCAGCAAGACAGCAAGCTTAGAGAGCAAAGAACAACTCTGCTTGTATCTGAGCTTTTCTGTGGTCTGAGAGGCAAGTGGTCACTCTGTCCCCAGAACAGAGTACAGAGCAGGGCGGGCAAAAGCCCTCAAGAGGTATGTGGTTCCACCTTTGGTTTTTCCCCAACTGGATCCTCACATGGGGTTGGATTCTCTGATCTGCAGTAAAGTCTCTGACACACGATACATCCTTATTCAATTGTTAGCATAGAAATGTCTTATTGCTGCCTATGAATATTTTAGTATTATCTGATATTTTGTTGAGTTTTCTTTCCCTTACAGTATTGACTGATAACGGATTCTCTGTACTAATTGAGTTGTGCATTTATTTAATATTTATTATTATAATAACAGCTAATATTTACCAAGCACAATGCCAGACACTGCACACAGGTCATTTTATCGAGTCTTCATAATAATCCCATGGGGCTGCTGTGGACAGTTGTGCAGTTTGCACCTGGCCAAGGAAGCAGGTGGGGTTAAGATCTACCCTGGTCCCCACTCACCAAGCTCTGTGCTGGGGGAGAGGCTTCACCCCCCTGGAGGACAGAGATGTTTTCTTCACGCAAAGGCAGCAGCCAGAACTGGTGCATTTGGAGCCTTGACTACCCATTTAAGAGAAACCTTACTATTCCCATTTCCCAGCTTAAGAAACCAAGGTACGAGAAAGTCAAGAAACTTCCCTAAGGTCACACAGCTGGCAGGAGGTGGAGTGAGGACTCAAATCAAGAGCCTGACTTGGAGCCAGGGCTCTTAACCTGGATGCTTTTGGTGCAATGTCTTTCCCACTCCCTGGGAATGCTCTGTCTTAGGTTGTGAGGGCCCGGAAGACGGGCATTCACGTCCACGGGACTTGCCTTAGGTTCTATGCAACACACTATGTCATTGAGTGCGTGAAGTGCTTTCTTGACCCTAAAGGCATGATTGCTCAGGTTCTGTGGCCAGACATCTCCAGCTACTGCACCCAGCTGCGTTAGGCTGGAATTTCACAGGGTAAAAGGAAGAGAAGAGGCATGGAGAACTGTCAGGGCAATGAGACCCTGTGGAAATCAAGCCTCTAGATTCTCCTTTCTAGGATGTGCACAGTTCGGATGACACACAAAAGTGTGGAGGCTGGAAGTTAGGCAACAAGTTTGCTCAATGGGGAGGCTTTAACGTGAACCTCCTCTGCGTCTACACCTCACATCTTCGTGGAGCCTGGAAGATCAGTCTGTCCATAAAAGATATCTCCCTTCTAAACTTGTGCCTGAAGTTTCCACCATTTAGTGTGTTTCTTTGGGTTGTGGTTGCCCTGCCTGCCACTGCCACCCTTCTGTTCCTCCCTGCTGGCTCCCTGATGCCTGAAATTCCTTTAATATGGAACAAAGGCTTTCAGTTCATAGAGGGTGATGAGGCTTAAAATGCAAGCACCCCTCCGAGAGGCAGCATATTGATTTAAATTCACACCATGTAACTTGGGTACAAATGAGTGATCAGGATTTTTTCCTGAGAGCACCTTTTGATGAGAGAAAGGCAGAGGAGAGAATAAGGACACTAGAAAAAAACAGTGTGAGAGGAAGGGCAGTGTAGAGAGGGAAAAGGGCACAGAAAGCCGATGAAGCTGTGTGACTTCAGCATACGTCCGCACCCACCTTGCCCCTGCAGTGGCTACCAGGCAGCATGGTGCAGGGGAAGGTGTGGCCTCCTTGGGGAGTCAGATCTGGTTTGAAACCCAGCTAGGCAGCCCTTGCAAGCGACCTAACTTCTGTGCACCTTAATTTCCTCCCTTGTGAAATGAGGGTCTAAAACCTGCCACACAGGGCTGCTTTGGGGATTTTATTTTATTTTAAATTGTGGTGAAATACACATAACATAAAATTTACCCACTTAACCATTTTTAAGCGTACGAGTTCAGCGGCGTTAAGTACATTCACATTGTGGTGCAGCCATCACCGCTATCCATCTCCAGAACTCTACTCAGCTTGCAAAACTGAAACTCTGTCCCCACTAAACAAGAACTCCCCATTCCTCCTTGTCTCCAGCCCCTGACAACAACCATTCTGAGTTCAGTCTCCCCGAATTTGACTATTCTAGGTACCTCATATGAGTGGAATCGTACAGCATTTGTCCTTTTGTGACTGGCTATTTCACTTAGCATAATGCCCTCCAGGTTCATCCATGTTGTAGCACGTGTCAGAATTTCCTTCCTTTTTTAAGGTTGAATAATATTTCATCGTATGGATACACCACATATTGTTTATCCTTCATTCATCCAACACTTGGGTTGCTTCTACCTTTTGGCTATTGTGTATCATGCTGCTAAGAACATGGTATACAAATATCTCTTGGAGACCCTGCTTTCAATTTTGGGGGGTACATACCCAGAAGTGGGATTGCTGGATCATGTGGTAGTTCTAGTTTTAATTTTTTGAGGAACTGCCGTACTGTTCTCCATAGAGGCTGCACCATTTTGCATTTCCTACCAACAGTGCACAAGGGTTCCAATTTCTCTACATCCTCGCCAACACTTGTTTTTTTTCTTTATAGTAACCATCCTAATTTTTAAATGTAACCTAAATAAAGCTGCCCATGTACATGTCCAAACATCGAACAATTGAGAACACCCAACTAGAGAAGACTTGGCAAACAGTGTAGGATTATTTATCCTAGGTTTTCTTGAAGGGGTGTCGAGTGGCTTCTCTCTCGCTGCCACACTGCTGTGTCTCCTCCCCCTCCTCTGCTGGGCTCATGCTACTTTCTCATTGTCGCTCTCCAAATATCCCTCTCTCATCTGACTTGCCCTGCTGTGTTGGGTCTCCATGGGAAGCAGAATCTGGTCTCTATCTGCTATTCTCTCTTGGAAAGCAGCTGTCTGGAATTCTGATGAATAAATTTCTCCACTTCATTATACAGATGATGAGAATCACTTGGCACATTGTAGATACTCAGTAAATGGTAGCTAATCTTATACAGTCATGCATTGCGTAACAAATGGGAAACTTTCTGAGAAATTCATCGTTGAGCAATTCCATTGTTGTGCAAACATCATAGCGTGCACTTACACACACCTAGATGGTATTGAACATGTGGTCTGTTGTTGACCCAATGTCAGTGTTTGGTCAATACCTCATAGAGATATCATGAGCATTAAATGAGTAAATGCATGCAAAGTTCTTAGAATACTGCTGGTACTCCATAAGCAATATCTGAAGGTTAGCTTCCATTATTGTGGTGGTAGTAATGGGGAGCCCAGTGTGTTAGGACTAAATCATTTTTTAGCAAGAGAAGCTGCCAACAACTTTGGTTCTGGTTGATGACAAAGAGAGTCACTTTGAAGCAGATAACCTTTGGCTTCTGGGAGAACCTAGAGTGATTCCCTTTAAGTAGGCAGATGTAAGGTGGGTAGGCAGCCACTGCCCTTGGGAAATGGTATGACAGGACCTTTTGTAACTTGACAAAAGCTGCTGTTCCCAATATCCCCTTAGTAGGGGAAAGAGATGAAAAATCTGTACTGGGGTCAAGGAACCTCTTGGAAAGAGAAAGATTGAGAGCTAATTCTTTCCTTGTGAGGGTCTGCATTACCAAGATCTCTTTGCTGGATTTGTTAGGTCCTGACTCAGTCTGCTGACAGAGCAGAAAAAAGTTCCAGAGGGGAACTCACCTCGAAGGAAGGGGCACCCGCACTAGTGGAGCAGGACCAGGGGCTGAGTGGGGAGTGGAGGAGGAGGGCGGTGATGGCTTCTGGCATCTGCCTGGGTCTTGCAGCCCCTCTGGATGAGAAGCTGCCCACCAAGCAGTGGAGAAGAAGCAACCGGCGACTCTTCAGCTTCGTCTAGGGGCAAGTCGGCTGGGAACTGCCTGCATCGCCACAGTTTTTGCTTCTGAAGGAGACGGAAGAACATGTTGAGAATTTTTCGGTTGCCGTGCCTGGCACCTAGGGCATGTCTGGAATAAGGCAAGCACTCACCAAAGCTTGAGGGACTGGAGTAACTGAAGGGCAGGACTCGACACTGGGAGCCTGAGTGTTTCTTCTCTCCTGCCTCCATCCCAGCAGGGGCTGCACGACTGAGAAGTTGTGGAGAGAGTTGCCACTGGTGTTTGAGCGCCAGGGACCCTTCGAACAAGGACCATTCCCAGGGGAGTGCATGACGGGAGTTTCTTCTCTTCCTCGTGGTGTGTCACAGTTTCACTCTGCGCTTTCAGCACTTGAAAGCATAGAATTTAAAAATGGAAAATCCAGGTCTGTCCAAGGAATGAATCCCTTCCTTTCTCTTCCTTTCTTTTCATAGTTTAATGATGTGGAATGGAGAGTCTGAGCTTTAGGTCCAAATGGTTTTGTTTTGTTTTGTTTATGGAGATGGAGAGAGCTGACCTTTATCTAATTATGCCTCTTGCAAGAACACTGAGCAACTCAAGAATTTGGCAAACAAGAGTCCTCGCCTCCTAGACTTTTAACCAGAGGCAGAGGGCTGACCCACATCTTGGTTACGCCATCCATTATTTACACAGCAGCCATCACCCTATAAACACAGTACCAGGGGAACTGACACGGTCTCAGCCCCACCCTTTCATTGCCTATACCTTTTTTTCCCTCTTAAGCGTTGTCAAGAATTGTGCAAAGAAAGCAAGTCACCCATGTTCCACCCAAGCATGTAGGAAGGAACAGACTACAACAAGGTAACGAAGGGAGGGGAAGTAACATCCATCTGGAAGTGAGACGGTTCTGGATTCCTTCTCCACAGACTAGCTGTGTGACCTTGGAGAAGTTACTCAGTGTCTCTGAGCTTCAGAGTCCTCCCAGATAAAGTGGGAATGACAGTACACAGGACTGTTTGGGGGACTGAACGCACTAACAGGTAGTGTATGGTAGGTCCTCAGTGAAGAGTTCTTCTCCTGTGATGGTGGCTAAAAGCATGTGTGTGTTAGCCTGAAAACACCAGTGGGGTCTCCTGGGGGCCAGAGGTGTTCATTTCCAGACTCTGTGACACTTTCCCTGAAATCTGTACTTCCCTGTGACTGCCTCAGGCATGTTCACATAGAATTTTCTCGTACTGAGGACACTCTCTCTGAACAGTTTACATCCGCAGGCTGCTTTTCAGGAGGCCCTGAGGTAGGAAACTCATTCTCCCAGGTGCCTGCCTTTCTGCTCAGGATAAATGGAGGCAGGAGGAAGGCCCAGCCAAGAGCAATTAAAAGTCACACTACAGCACTTGGGCTCATCCCTCGGAGCCCTTAGGCCTCACATCTGGGAAACAGCTGGTGGAAGAAATGGAAAAAAAGATGCCCCTTGTTCTTCCTGACGGGTTGTGTCCCAAAGGTAGTACCTCAGAGAAGCATCTTCCAGGCTTCCCCAGTCCGTTTATGGGCACCGAAGAGAAGTGGAAGCATTCTCTTGTTTCTCCCATGACGCTCTTCCTCTCTTTGCTGTCCTCACCTCCAAACACAGACAGCCTTTTCAAAGTGTCCTGGTACCAACACTCTACAGAGAATGCTGTTTTCCCCTAACCTAAAAAAGATTATTATACTAATAATTTCAAGGCAGAAAGTTCAAGGCCAAGGTAATAAGTACTATTTCTTTTAATCTTTATTCTTTTTAATGAATAAAGTACCACCCGCTTGTTGTGGAAAAGGGAATCAAGGGCCCATATGCGCAAATAGTGTAAGAGCTCTCTATTCTCTCTCACTCCCCTCAGTCCCGCTCCCTGGAGGTGACTACCCCTTAGCAGTTTGGCATGCATCCTTCCAGACATTTCTGTCATTCTTGGGCATTTGAAGATATATAGTGATTCCCTACTATGTTCTGGGCGGTGTTGGGTGCTGGGACCTATGGTGAACAAATCTATATACGTATGTATGTGTGTTTATCTGTCATATATATGAGCAAAAATGAGACCATGTTTCTCAAAAAAGAAAATCTCAGAGTGACTTTTCCATGCTAGTATGTAGAAATAAACATATAGATAAAGAAACATTTGTAATTTTTAACGGCTGTGTAGTTTTCCATTGTGAGGATACACCATAATGTACATATATAACCTGTACATGCTGATTTAAAAACAAGCCTCATTCCCTTTGCTTGTAGGATGTGGAGCAACCCGCTTCACATGGCCCGCTTGAGCCACGGGGATGCTCTGGGGCCTGTCCCCTGCACAAGGGTGGAGAGACGGCTAGCTCAGTGGGCTGGCGCTCCATCAAGGCCAGCACCAGGAGCACGATGTGCCTGTCCAGGCACCCTGCAGTGGTGCCCAGCTGGCCAGTGGCATAACCGAGTTCACACTCAGCTCTCTCTGACCCCAGAGCTCCTGCCCCCACAGCTCGCATCACACTCTGCTGCCCCCGCCCTCCTTTCTGGCCACTGGTTGAACAAGGAGAGGGGACGGAGAGGAAATAAACTCGAGGTCCTGAAAAATGCAGTCAGGGGAGGACTGTGTATGTGTTTTCTTTAAAGTAGTCACTTTTTCATGCCTGTTGATGGGGCTGACCGTGTGTGTGTGTGTTTGTGTGTGTGTGGTCTGTGTGCACTCGCTCGCTGTCAGGGGGATGAGCAGTGCGTCCTCCCTCCGTGGGTAAGGGCAGCAGATGCTCATGTTTTAAGCAGTCAGAGATAGTAAGAAGCTCTTGCTTCATTTTCCTCCCTATTATCTGCCCCAATCTCCTCCTTTGGAGCTGCGACTGACTAACCGATCTCAACGCCCCAGTTCCAGCCCTCCCCAGGCGCTTCTCAGGCTGGGGCGCCGCGGCAGCGCTGGGGTCCAGGCAGGGCAGATGTTCGCCGGCAGTCACTTAGCTGGGTGGTGAAAACAAAAATGCAGCCTAATTGGTCAGTGGCCTTTTCTAGTGAATGAAGGAGGTTTCTGTTTTAAGAACTAAAGTGACTTCTCGGCTGTTGATTCACTGCCCACAGGGAGATTTCTGAAACGAGGCTTCCTAGCTTGGGTAGAAATTTGCATACAACTTCCACTTCCTGCTCAGAGCCTGTTCGACGACTTACCTGGGCCCGGGCAGGGAGGAGGGAGGCCGGGAGCCACCGAAGGTGGAGACACAGGAGGAGAGAGAGCGGGACCACCCTGGGGCCTGGCCTGTCTGTGCGCGGAGGTTCGAAGGTAAGTTGTTCAGAGTTGTCGCCTGCCTAACCTCTGACCCATTTTCCAAAACACTGTTTTCTCCTCTACTGCAGTGTTCTGCCTTCCTTTCCTCTCCCCATCTTTAATCTGTTCGTGTAGAGACCAGCTCGGGCTGAGAAGTGGCAGGCTTCTGCTGCGGGAAGGTGTCGGTGGTTGGGAAATTCAGGCAGGCGACCGGGGAGTAGCTCTCGGAGGAGGGGAGGCGGCCCTCTGGTGCGTTTCGGAGCTGTCTGGGAACCATTTGAGTACTTCGTGTCCCCACAAGTTTCGATTAAGACAAGCCCCCCCCCCCACCCCTTCTCCGCGGACGGCGAAGATGAAGAAATTGGCTTCCAGCCCCAGAAACACGTCAGCGGCAGAGATGGAAGGGGAACTCTCAAGTTTTCTCCATCTCTGTTTCACGCAGGGAAAAAATCAACACCGCGTTCCCGGGCGCGGGGTTTGGCCCCGGCCCTGCGCTGGCTGCGAGCTGCCTTCTCAGCATCCCCACACCCCCCACCCTCCCCAGCTCCCCAGACAGTTGCTGGCCCTGGACGGAGCCTTCAGGGAAAATAAGGGGAGAAACGCTACTACTTGGTCTTAGAAGCTAATTAAGCTTCACATGCCATTCAAGTTCAAGATGGTCTCTTAGAATACGGGGACATTTTTAAATGAAGGGAAAAATAGAGACCAAATAAATAATTAAAAAGAGAACAGGAAACTTGATTTCAAGTTCTCACCCCTGCTCCTTGCTGGCTCTGCGACTTAAGCAATTCACTTTGGCTTCCCTCAGCTTGGATTTCTTCATCCATAAAATGTGGGGTGGGAGTCAGGGTGGAGAATTAATGTGATTTTGTCTAAATTCCCTTCTACCAAAATCAGGATAGGGTAATGGGAGTCCCAGAGGGGTAGCTGTAATGGGTGGTCTTAGAAGACTTGTTTTGTTTACTGATTTTTCAAAACTATTAATTTTACCTCCTGCTACTGCATGGTTAGTCCCTGGAGGAAAAGGACTTTGTTTCTTAATCCTTTTCTACCGCCCAGCGCCCAGCATACTCTCAAACGCCTCGTAGGTGCCCAGGCTCCTTCCGCATAAGGTGCTCTGAGTTCTGCCTCACCCATCTGCTCTCAAGGTAAAAGGTAAAGCATAGTCTGGGTGAAAGGCTGGGCAGCCACGTGGCTCCGCCGGAGGGCTGCCTGGAATTGAGGCGTTATTATTGGCTTGAGCTAAATAGGAGAAAACAGGGGGTTTCTTGAATTAGTTCACGTCCCATTTGGGTTACCCGGGAAGAGCTGACCTGCCCACTTGCCCACAGAGTCAACGCAGGCCAGAGACTTGGCAGACAAGCCTGGCTCTAGGAGCCGGCGTTACTGACTTAGCTGGAGCTGGAAACCACTCCTTGGCTAGACCAGTCACTGTGTGTGGGGCCTTTAATGGGAGGTGAAAGGAAGCCATGAAGCACATCCTGATACCATGTAAGGCTGATGACCGTGATTGGACACGTTAGATTCCAGACTCACAGAATCCTTAACCTCTTCCAAACCACCACATTTTTTTTTGGTTTGTTATTGTTTCTTCTGGGCAATTAGTCTCCCTCTACAGTTTGAACAGGCCCTGGCTGACGGGACAGGCTGACTCAGGGCTTTCAGTATTGCTAAACCGTTCTGTGGAAGACTGAGGCCCTGGTGTAGTCTTCATCATGTTTTTAGATGGCTCTCTATCCCGCTGGGATGAGAGGGCAAGAATTTCAAGATGTTTCACCTGTGATGAGTTACTGATTTTATTTTCAAATAATGATGCACCATTGTCTGAAATCGGGCTGCCAGCCTAGCTCTGATCAGAAAGGCCACCCACAGTCATTCTTAATCTGGTGTTACAGTTCCAGCTCATTCCATGATGGAGTGTCATGAGAGAGACAGTGTGGTGTCTGCTGGGCTCACTGGGTGGGGCGGGCAGACTAGGAGTGAAGTCTGGGCCGTGAACCGACATGTTGCAGAGAAGGTCCATAACTCGGGGATACTGGCTTTGGGAGGGTGCAAATACAGAAAATATTTAAGCCTGCGTCTCTCAGGATTAAGGAGTTAGTGACTTTCAAATGCTCTGAAAATAAGCAAAGGAGAAGGCAGTCCTATTTGCAGATTTCTTTAACAGACACTCAGAAAGATAGATGATGTGGGCAGTTTGTCTAAATTAAATCTATGTTTTACACATTGCAGAATCGAAATCTCAGAACTATCCTGAATTCAAATCATTTTTCTGCTGCAGGCAATTTTAGATTAGCCTTTAAAAACATATATGAATTGCAAGCAACTGCTGCAGGAAAGAAAAAAAAAGAGCTCAGATGAGGCACATTAAACTTTAAATTCCTTTCAGATCCAATGAAATGACCCCTAATGTTTGATCATATTTCCTTATCAAAACAATCCTGCAGTCGTTCCGTGAGAAAGCATCTGAGGGTTGGAATTGACATGCTCTCCCCCGGGCCTCTCCTGTTTCTTCCCCGTGCGTTGTCACCAGGATATTTTTAGTTCCTGAAACCCAGGCTGTCCTTTCTCCCTCTGACATTATTTGGGTTTCGTGCCCAGCAGGCCTCCGACTAGGCCACGTGTGCTTCGATACCTGACAGCTCAGCTCGCTCGGTGCCTGTGTGTGTGTCTGTGTGTGTAGACAGATCTGTACACAGACCTTCCTGAAGACTGGAAGTTGTGAACTAGCTGAGCGAGGAGAGTGGGCTTTCTCCCACCTCGTGACCCGGAGAGCTGTGCCAGTTTGGCTTAGTTCCCTGATAAGGCAGCTGAAATCAAGCTCTTTGGGAGTGATGAGACTGACTGGAGCCCCAGCCCACGTGTCCCCCTTCCTTCCACCCCTTAGACCTGGGCTGGCCGGGGTCTTGGCAGCTCCCTCAGTGATGAGGGAAACTTGGCTCCTCTCGGCCTCATTGTTTTCCTGTGCTCAGGGTTCCAGTGTTTTTCCTTCTTCTCCTCCCAAGGTCACGGGGTCGCCTCCATCTCTGATCTCTCTTCCTCCTCTGTGCTGTCTGCCCAGACTCTTCCTGGCTTACCAGCTCACCTATCACACTGTATTTGTTATGCCCCTTTCCTTCCAACTGCCCCTTCCCATACCCACTAACACATGAAAATCACAATTTAAATAAATCTCTCTCCTACACCAATAAAGGGCAAATTTGAAACAATTTCCTTCAAGGTTTCCCCGCTTTCCTTGCTCTCTCCTCTTCCATTCTCCTTTCTTCCTTCCTATCCCTTCTTCCTCTCCTGATTTTTCCTTTCTGCCTCTTCCTCCGTTTCACTCTGGGAGCTGGACTGAATTAAGAATCACAAATGTGTGCTTGGAGAAACCTTATCTGAAACAAACCAACAAAAACCCATGGGCTGGTTCGAGGTCGTTCTCTAACTGTTTATGACCAACTTCCAACGTGGCAATCAGTCCGTTCTGTTAGTCCATTCATTGCCTCCTTGTTCATCGGCTCAGAAGAGTTCCAGATCCGACTTCTTCAAATCAGGTCAGGTCATGCTGTGCTGCCTCCAGCCTGATGTGACGTGTACTGTGCAGGGAATGAACAAGGCTAGTAAATGTTTCCTGTCTCTAGGGCTCGCCGCTGCTTCCAATATTCTGGCAAACCAAATGGAAGAACTTCTCTGTCTGGGAAATTCTGCAAGTAAACTTGGACGTATTTATTCACTGGAATTTGAACCTGAGCCAAACAGGTCACTCAAAACCAGTTTCCACTCAGCAAACCCGTGTTGTGAAAGTTTGCATGCGTTTGGGCAGGAAACAGAACATTAAGGAGTTTACAGATCTTTAAAAATCCATGACTTTTAGACATTCAGAAAAAAAATTACTCCCTGGGGAATGAAGTAAGACCTTGAGAATCTGTAATTGAAAGTATCTGATCCAAATTGGATCTGAGGATCCTCCTAGCTGTGAATTTATATATTTATTTATTATGTCCACCTGAAATATTCATGCTGTGTATCTCTAGGACTCTTCAACCCTATCGTTGACCCAAATAATGCTTAAAAAAATATCCAAGCACTTGGGGAGCAGCCAGCCCTGATTATTTAGGAACTGGTAATGTGGTTTATTAATTACTCAGGCTGCTCACTCCTGCCTGTCCTCTGTCTTTTGCTATGCTATTTGTCTCCTTCCAGGGACATCACACCTTCACTGAATCCCATCCGTCCTTGCCTCAGAGGCGTCCCCTGGAAGATCCCCCCGCCAATGCATCACCATATATCATCTCCCTTTGTTTGTGCTCTGTCAACCAGTTTTCAATTTATTTTGAATTCAGTTTATGATTAAAGTTTAATGAGATCCAATCAAGTGCTTTTCTCAAATCAAGATGCTGCTGCAGTCTCATCCACATCCTCTGCTGTAACCGCACGAAGGAGAGCGGCCACAGGCTCCCAGCCTGGGGGTTCATTAGGAGACACAGGTGGCCTGTATCCATGCCTCCTGAGTTTCAAGGTGAATGGTTCTCAGACATAGTTATTCCAGACGCTTCAAGGGGTTTCTCAGCTCCCTCCATCCCTTTCTCCCCCGCCTGCCCCGCAAATAGCTGTACAACTCAGTGCTCCCAACTGAGATACAAATGGCCACTTGCACCGGCTCTGGTGCTGACTTGCTTGGATTTGAATCCCAGCTATGCTACCTACTGGCCATGCGATCTTGGGAAAGTTACTTAACCTCCCCGTGCCTCAGTTTCCCCATCTGTAAAATGGGACTGACAGTCATACCTATCAAATAGGGCAGCTGTGAGTATGAAATAAGCTAATACATGTAAAACACTTGGAATAATAGTTGACACATAATAACATTTAATAAATGTTAACAATTGTTACTAACAAAGGGTGAGGTTTCTTAAGGATATCCATTTCATTAGGTTTATATTTTGATGCATCAGCATAATCTATATCAGAGCTTGGTAAACTATAACCCTCAGGCCAAAGGTGGCCCATGGTCTGTTTTTGTACCAGCCTATCACTAAGAATGGTTTTATATAAATATATATTTTTTATTGAGATATCTCTGCTTTCTTTTCTTTTCTTTTTTTTTTTAAACTTTTTCTTAACATTATGATAGTTTACAACCTTGTGACATTTCAGTTGTACATTATTGTTAGTCGTGTTGTAGGTACACCCCTTCACCCTTTGTGCCCTCCCCCCAACCTCCCTTTCCCCTGGTAACCACCAATCAGTTCTCTTTGTCTATATGTTTAACTTCCACCTATGAGTGGAGTCGTGCAGAGTTTGTCTTTGTCTGTCTGGCTTATTTCACTTAACATAATACCCTCAAGGTCCCTCCATGTTGTTGTGATGGTTTTATATTTTTAATGGGTTACTTAAAAACAAATAAATAAGAAAGCAGAGTATGAAACAGAGATGGTATGTGGTCCACAAAGCACGAGCTATTTACTATCTGGTTCTTTACAGGAAACGTTTGCCAACCCCCTGATCCATGTGGTTTGATGGAATGAGTTAGGAAGTCTGTAGGCTAGGTTTGGCTGTGACTTTGGAAAAACTACTTAATGTGGCTAGCCTCCATACAACAGGGATAGTAAAGAGAGACCACATACCCCACCTGTGGCCTGGCTTGTTTTAAGGACCAAATGAGATGATGTGTATCGAATGTGCTGGAAATCTACATGTTGGTTGGATGTGATCTCTATACATTAGGTTCATATAATAGTGTTAGCATCCAGGTATAAAACCAGTGAACATAGTCTAGAAAAAGAGTTCCAAAGCCAATTCACTCATTGTTACAAAAATAATAACAAAATAGCCTTTGTTTTTTGAGAGCTTGATATGGGCAGGCCCTATGGTGAGCACTTCTATCCTCATAATACCCCAATGGGGCAAGTTTTGTTATTTTCCCCATTTTACAGATGAGAAAAATGAGGCCTAGAGAAGTTAAGTAATTTTTTCAGGGTCACACATCTAATCATGCAGCTGGCAGGGAAGAATTTAAACCTAGAGAATCTGAATCTAGAGCCTGTGCATTTCAGTACTGCCTATTTTCCCACTTCCCAGAAGCATGTGTTGATTCCGGTGAGCTGAGCTGGAAGGTAGAAGCCGCAGTTAACTGTGAATGTGGACGTCAGATCTGTGCACGTGCCCTGAGAAGGACTTGTTTCCCACATCAGCCAGGGTGGGGTCTAATGGACATGCAGAAGGGGAGGCAGGAATAACGGGAGGAAAAGAAGCTTTGGATGAACGGTGAGATCAGAAAGGCAGTGTTGTGAAGACTACCAGGCTCTGTCTCAGGAAACTAATAATTTAATGCGGGATGTGCTGGGGGAGAAAAGGTTGCCAGGAACAGACATGAGCACAGAGTTGGAGGCGCTCGGGGGGTTGACTGAGAGCTGTGTGCAGAGAGAGAGAAAAGGAGAGAGGGAGAGAGGATGGGGAATTCTGTGAATGAGACACCAGGGAGCATGGTCTCATGGGATGTCAAAACTGCTGACGTCTAGATAAGATCTGTCTGCAAAACTGGGCTATTTCGGGTAGAGTGAGAGAAAGGTCTCAGGCCTGAGGAGGCAGAAAGGAAGCCAAAGAGAGAGACTTGGACAGAGAAAAACTGACAGAGAGAAAGGTGCGGTCAGAATCCAAGAGCTAACGGTTGCGTGCAGTCCAAAGGCCGATGCGATTCCAGAGAAGGAAAACCACCGCCTCTTGGGTCAGCTCAGAGGGAGTAAGACCTAGACTCACGTGCATGGCTGGTGCAGCCTCGCTCTGAGTACCTGGGGCCAGCGCCCCGTTCCTAGCTTGTGCCTACCCTGTGCCCAGCCGGGCAAATGTTCTCACCCTCTGCTCAACGGTCTTCGCATTTGAAGGGAGCGTTCACTGTCCTCTGGGTGGTCTCAGGAGTGCCTCCCTTGCATCGGTCCTTAAGCTTTGAGAACATCAGAATTACTAGTGGAGCTTTGCCTGTTCTTTTCTTTCCTTTTATCTTTTAGGTAGATATATGGGCAGTTGGTACAAAATTTAAAAGGTATAAAATGCTCCCTCCTGCCCCCGTTCCAGTCACCCAGTTCCCTTCCCAGAGGCAACCGCTGTTCTGAATTTCTGATGAGATGGCATGTGCATAGACGACCTTAGATCGTCCAAAGGGCAGCAGACGCTACACACTGTTCTGCTCTCTACTTTTTTTTAACTTAACCACAAGTCTTGGAGATAGTTCCACATCAGTTCACACGGCACTTCCTCAGTCTTTTTTAAAAGATGCAGAGTCCTCGTTGCACAGCTGGACCACAGTTTTAAAAATCAGAATTTTTTTGCACAAGTGGGTTGCTTCTAGTCTTTGCTGTTATAACATGGCTGCATGGTCTATCTTTATAGCCTCTTCATTTCATGCAAGACGCATGCATCTCTGTAGAGGAAATTCTTAGAAGCGAAATTACTAGTGAAAGTAATTGCAAAGGGAATACGCTTTTTAAATTCTGGCAGTTATTGCCCAATTGTACAGGTTACACTGCCCTTGGCAAAGGATGAGAGAACCCAGTCACCTATGGGACTGAAACCAAAATATACAGGAGCCCTGGCCCCATCTCAGAACTCTAGGTGTGGGGCCTGGGCTCCTGAAGTGTGAGCCTCAGAAAGGGGCTCTGAACTCCTTTGGGTTCCCCCAGGGATTTTCCGGGGTGAGGTAGACATGGCTCTTGTCCTCCTGGCCTAAGAGGCCTCAGCTGCTCCCAGCCTTTCTGAGCTCAGCCTCGGTGCTGATGTGCCCAAGACTGTCCAGGGCTCGTGGGGTCCTGGCTGTCAGGTCATCTGTCCCCCTCGGGGGTCAGAGACTTCTCCTCTAGGTCATGGCTAGAAAACAGGGCTTTTCTACTTCGATCCAAGTGCCTCCCTTGTCAGGGGTTGGGGCACAGGCCGTGCCACGGTTACAGCTGCATGGACATCATATGGAAAAGCCCTGGAATAAAACAGGGAAAAATGGAAATAATTAGGAGTGGTGAGATACTGATTGATTTTTTTTTTAAATGTGTGGTATTTTACAAAACTGACATCAAAGACCAAAAAATACAACTGCCATTTCCGACACAACCCACTAATCTGCCTGTGGCCCTCTGATGTGGCATTTGTGTGTACTTATTCTCTTACCCTCACCCTCAGAAGGGTGGCAGGGTTTGTTCTGCCAGTTCTGGTGGGGTCGAGGGCTGGGAGGGGCCCACGTGGCAGCTACAGGCGTGCCCCACCCTCCGCTGCTCTGTGCGAGGCTCTGAGGATGCGCGAACAGACCAGCTGCCTCCCCGTCTGGAGCAGAACAGCACATGTTCCCATCCCGCGAGGTGGTGAAATCACCTTTATTCTGCAAGTGAGGGTCAAGTCAACCCTGCCCATGGGTGGGACCTCTTTAGGCATGGCCCAGGCCACCTTAGGGCCTGACACTTAGAGGAAGAAAGAAAGGAAGAAGGAAGGGTTGCCATGTGGTATAATTTTAAGAACTCTGAGGACTTGGCCCATCACATCCTCCCTGCTACCCCAATGGAGCCTGACATTCTCACTGTCAGTGGCCCTTCCAGCTACGCAGATCTGTTCCCTCTCTGAATCAGGCATCAATCGATTATTCATTCAACAAATATTTATTGAGCCCCTACTATGGTGCTGAGAATATAGCTGTGAACAGAATAGGCAAAAACATGCCCTCATGATGTTTACATTCTGGGAGGAGGGAGGAGACAATAAACAAACAAGGAATATTTAGGTATTTGTATTTATAACATACGTTTTGTAGTATGTATGATGGTGATAACTGCTAGAGAGGATGGTAAGCAGGGATGAGAGACAAGGGAACAAGAGGGGCATGTATGAATTGTAGAGAAAGTGACCAGGGAGCCCTCACTGAGAAAGTGACAGTTGAATAAAGACCTGAAGGAGAAAGGAAGCAAGCCATGCAGATATGCAGAGGAAGAGTGTTCCAAGGAGAAGAAACAGCAAGTGCAAAGGCCCTGGGGTAGGGCCTTTGATTTCCCGTATTAGTTTTCTCTCTTGAGCTGGATCACAAGCAACTTGAAGGTAGCAATAATGTTTTATATGTCTTTAGAAATGATTTTGATTACCTTTCACTGTATACTCTCTTGTACCTCTTAAATTTTGTATCACTTGTAGGTATTACCTATTATAAAACATTTTTTAATTGAGCTTATGGCTCAGAAGGGGGATACACAGCATAGAGCTGGACACACAGTAGGGCTCAGTAATAATTTGCTGTTTGAATATTTGATAGTGACACATTGAAAACATCAGGGTCCACTTTGTCTTTTAAAGATTACCCATCCTGTTGCTTTCCTGAGAGGCTGTTTAGTGACAGGCCAGGTTTATTTACTACCATCAAAAGGGCCATTTGGTTCTTTTCCAACCAGTTTTAACTGTGGAATTTCCACCATGGGATGGCCCTCAGATTTCCGGTTACATGAGAGGACTATACTTGTCACCTTTTTTATTAGCTTCCTCCGAGCCCCTGAAAGCTCCTCAGCCAAAAGAGTAGAATTTGCAATTTTTTTTTTTTTTTTTTAAGGGAAGCGTGTCTAAGGCATTCACAGTTGAAAACCCAGGGAGAATGTAAACAGTCAGCGGTACCTGGAGTGCAGGCAGTGGAAGCGAACTGCATAGCAGGAGAAAGGGGACAGAATTTGGTCCTCTTACTAGGTGGCTCACTCGCCTGTCTCTTTGCCCTCCCGTCAGCCGTGGGCCCACAGACGCTGGCAGGAGCTTACACAACACTCGAGCCAGTGCTTCAGAAAACACTTTTGTTTCCGGACCCGCTGAAGAGCATGTCGTATGGCACGTCCACTTCATAGCTGTAGAAAAACTGTGAGAAAGAAAGGAAAACAATGACAATCATTTAAAAATAATGGTGGAAATATTTGTGTTTCGGGTAGGTTCCTGTTCATTTTTACGGTTTATCAATTTTATCTATTTAGGTGATGAGGTCTCTTTTCTGCAGAGCCAAGGGACAAGAGGCACACCCAGCCTGGACAGCAGCCTAGAAAGGAGACATCCAGGAGAAGAGGAAGACTGAGGCACGGAGGGAGGGCCAGCCAAGAGTTAGAAGCTGAAGGAGTTTTCTGTTGTCCCAGAGAACAGTACAAAGGTTGTCCGCAGCAGATTTCTAAGTTTGATACCAAGCGAGGGTGCGAGAGATGTTAAATAGTATTCATTTGGCAGGGAACGGAGAGGCAAGCTGAGGTGTCTTCCTATAGGCAGTGAAGATAAATTTGGTAGGAAACTGTCAGCGCCACCTCTGCTCCGAGGTCCAGTACTTTAAAATGGATGCTGTCATGTTGCCATTGGGCTGGGTACAGGGCTCAAGAGAAAGTGAATTCATATTTTTTCAAAACTTGTCTTAGAACAATAATTGATGTACATCATGATTTCAGATACAGTAAGTCCTCAGTAAATGTCTGAAATTCTCCATGGATCTAAAATAGAAATTTAAAAATTCACCACCACCGGCACCACCGCTTTTCTTTGTAGGGAATTTGAAGGATGCTATGTACAGGGCTTGCATAGAACGAACCTCAGGGACTTTTTTCCCCCACTCCTGCCCTCCCACTCCACCTGCTCGGGAGCCTTCTGCAGGCCTCCAGTCACTCCTGTGCTGTCTTGTCCCTGGCCTGCCTCCTTCCTTCCCCTGGAGCCTTGGCGTCCTGGGGCATCATCTCTACCCATCTAATGATAAGAGGAGGCTAATTTTCTTTCTCATTTTGTTATGTTGATTAAGAGTTCTATTTTTATATTCCTAGACAGTCCAATATTACCTGGACTGTGGGCTGAATGCTCAGTGGGCTAAAGGCTCGTTTAGCAAGCCCTGCAAGTTCAGCTACCACATCACAAACCAGATGGGCATGGCTACCTTAATTGCAGGAAAATGCCGGAGGGAATTAAGTCCTCCAAACAACCTATAGTTGTTAGGTGGAAAATGTCACTTTGACCTTTTTTCAGTGCTTTTTAACTCAGGCTTTCTTTTTCGTTTTTAAAAAAATTTTGATGAGGCAATAGTCACACGAAGCAAAATTTTAAAAGTTCAAAAGGGGAAAATTCCTCCTCTCCCTACCCCCCCCCCCCAGCTTATTTCCATGCTCAGAGGAAACCAGTGTACACATGTCTTGTGTATGCTCCACACATGTCTTATACATCTACAAGCACACACGAAGCAGCCCACATTATGATAATTTCTCTTTCCTCTGGCCCTTGATTTTCAGCTGTGTCTTCCCCTTGTGCTGTCTACCACACGATGGTCCAGCCACATTCTTTGAATCGCCTTCCAGATAAAAATATCTTAATAAGCATCAGTGCCTTTGCCTGGAGGATAAGGGAACAGCTTTATGTGATTGGGGCTCTGCAAGCACGTTGGTGTCACACGACTGTTAATTTAAACCACATCTTGAACGAGGTCTCTTAAGGTCATAAAGTGAGGACTCCATGAAAAGATCTGTCTTCTAAGGCTGTGGCGTGTTTTCTCTTGTTCCAGAAACTAGAATGCGCCGAAGCATTCCCGTGGAGGTTGATGAATCAGAACCATACCCAAGTCAGTTACTGAAATCAATCCCACAATATTCCCCGGAAGAGGAATCAGAACCACCTGCTCCGAACATAAGGAACATGGCGCCCAACAGCCCGTCTGTGCCCCAAATGCCTCACTATTCCTCGGGAGACTTTTCCCAGGCTTACCCACCCCTGAAACTTGCAAATCACCGGCGCCCTGTGTCCCAGGAGGTCACCTGCCTGCGCACTAAAGTTCTGGAGGAGAGCGAAGACAGCTTCTGGAGGAGACACCCAGACCCGGGCAAAGATCTTCCCTCGGGCTCTTCTGCAGCCAGCGAGTCTAAGTCTGAGTCTGAGTCTTTGGTTGGAGCCTTCCCGCCGGAGCATCAGTTTTTATTTATGGAAAAACGCAATCAATGGCTGGAATCTCAGCTTTCAGCAGCTTCTCCTGACACTGGCCATGACTCAGACAAATCAGACCAAAGTTTGCCTAATGCCTCAGTAGACTCCTCGGGCAGGAGCCAAGAGATGGCCCCACAGCCCCAGCTTCAGCCCCACAGGAACCGAGCAGCCCCGGATCTGCCTACAATAGACACGGGGTATGATTCCCAGCCCCAGGACGTCCTGGGCATCAGGCAGCTGGAAAGGCCCCTGCCCCTCACCTCCGTGTGTTACCCCCAAGACCTTCCCAGACCTCTCAGGTCCAGAGAGTTCCATCAGTTTGAACTTCAGAGGTATCCAGCGTGTGCACAGATGCTGCCTCCCAACCTCTCCCCACAGGCTCAGTGGAACTATCATTACCATTGTCCCGGAGGTCCCGATCACCAGGCGCCATGTAAGTGAGTTTTACGTTGCGTCGCATCACTAGACAGAATGCAGGGAGGGCCTTCTTCTTCCCATAGTGGCTTTCCATGTGTGGTTCCATTTGCAAGGGGCTTTAGAAGAATGCTTTATCTTAGCCCAAAGCTGTCCCACTTGGGACCCGCTTCTCCAGGAACCTTTAAGGAAAAAACAAATTCCTCTGCTAGGTTCGTTCACCTGCCTAGAGGTAGGAAGATGAGCCAAATGATTTTAAGAAAGCTTGTTTGTTGTCTGAATTCTTGAGCATCTGGGTTCTTCCCCATCTGCATGCTTCTTCCCCATCTTAGATTTGGCAGAGAAAGGGGCCTTCTGTCAAAAAAATCAGAAGGTGCCCAGAATGTCACTGAGACTCTGGATTCATGCCATTATTGAAGATCAGGGTGCTCCCGATTCTCTTGCTTGAACCCCTTTGGCGACTTGAGCCATCGGCCTCTATCTTCTGTTCTAGCCACGCCCACGGACTGGTGTCCCCTCAGCTTGTCCAGCTGATTCACATGTCCAAGCATTTGCCCATGTTCTTCTCTCCGTCCAGGATGTTCTTCTCCTTCTTGTGTGTTTGACCCAGTTTTATACCTCTTTTATTTTTTTTACAGCTTTATTGAGATTTAATCTCAACATCCTGTAAGGTTTCACATACTATAAGGTTCACCCTTTGCTCATTTTAAGTGTACAAGTCAATGAATTGTAGTATATTTACAGAGTTATACAACCATCACCATATGTCCTTTTGTTTGTTTGCTTGTGAGGAAGATTTGCCCTGAGCTAACATCCATTGCCAATCTTCCTCTTTTTTTTTTTTGGCTTGAGGAAGATTAGCCCTGAGCTAACATTGTGCCAATCTTCCTCTGCTTTGTATGTGAGATGTCGCCCCAGCATGGCTGATGAGTGGAGCAGGTCCACACCTGGGATCCGAACCTGCAAACCCAGGCCACTGAAGCAGACAGTGTGGAACTTTAACCACTCGGCCATGGGGCTGGCCCCCGATATATGTCTGTTAAGACTCAGCTCAAGTGTCCCTCTGGAAACCTCCCCAGATCAGTCCCTCTTTCCGGTTCTCTCTTTCCTTGTGCTCTGCCTGTTGAGGCTCCTACTACCAGTATGGCACCTACTTAGGGACTTTTCTACCTCTCCTGCCAGACTGCAAACTTTTGCACATCAGCAAAGGTATATTTTCAATCCATAATTCCCCAGCATTTAGCACAGTGACTAGCACACGCTAGACTCTCAATAAATTATTTCTGAACGAGTGAATGAATGAATAATATGTATCAGCGCATTAAGCATCTCTGAAAGTGATAAAGTCTTAGATTGAGATAAAAAGCCCATCACAGTTCTGGATATTAAATCTCTACTGAGGCCACTGGAAAATAATGATAGGGCTTTACAGATCACATACAGGCCTGTGAGATGTGACATTTTTCTTAGAAAATAAATGCTGTACAAAGGGCAGTTCAAATGGTATAAGAGTCTGACCACGGGCCTGATGCCCAGCTTTAAAATAAATTATAGAAATAATTACAAATGCTGTAATCAACCACGATTTATGTATTTGCACATGTACACTTAGTATAAAGCTTCCAAAAGTGAATGGAGCAGTATAGTAATTCATAATTTAAAAAAAAAAAAGAAGAAGAAGGAAGGAAGTTGAATTAACTTAGAAGAAATAGATAAGAACAAACATAAGGTTGGAGTGAGGCCAGGAGCTGGGGAAGCAGCAGGATTTGGAGAGAAAGAGCCCCTGAGGATGAAAACTGGGCCCAAGGTGTTGGACTTGGGGAAGTCAACTGACTGGGGCTGGTGGACACCACTGCCTGTTCCGAGTGCCCAGGAGTGGGAGGGTGGGTGTGGTGACAGAGTTCCTTCAGCATGAATCACTGAGAACTGAACCGTGGCAGGGTCTGGGTTGTGTTTATTTCTCAATGATTTCCAGGTTAAAAGGGATTAATTTTGTGAGAAGAATACCACAGACTACTTTTTTTTTAAGCATTCTACCTGCATTTAACTTTTCTGATAACAGTAATATTTGTTCACTCTCAAAAGTGAAATATGCCCAAAAGTCCCGTTCATATTTCTGTTACCCAAATGTAATTCCTTATTGGGGTTTTGACATATTTATTTCTGGTTTTTTTCTTTGAATATATATTTACTGTAAAGTTAAAATAATCTCCAGTGACATTCAGTGTACTTCTTCCAGCATCATTTAAAAACGCTGCATATGGGGCTGGCCCCGTGGCTGAGTGGTTAAGTTCTTGTGTTCTGCTTTGGCGGCCCAGGGTTTTGCTGGTTCGGATCCTGGGCATGGACATGGCACCACTCATCAGGCCATGCTGAGGTGGCGTCCCACATACCACAACTAGAAGGACCCACAACTAAAATGTACAACTATGTACTGGGGGGATTTGGGGAGATAAAGCAATTAAAAGAAAAAAAGAGGATTGGCGACAGTTGTTAGCTCAGGTGCCAATCTTTTTTTTTTAAAAAAAAATGCTGCATAGCATTTCAGCAGATGGATCTACCAAGTTGTTTTTAACCTATTCTCTATTATTGGACATTTTGAAGAGTTTGCAGTTTCTGATCTGATAAGCGATGATATGACAGACATTATGGACATAAGTTTTTATCTGCATTTCTGGTTAATTCCTTAGATTAATGTGTAGAAGTATGAAGACTTAGTCAAGGGCTTTGTGTTCCTAAGTCCCAAGCAGTTGCCTTTATCCACTCACAGGAGAAAGCCTCATCGTGATAGACAAAGAAAGCATTGTCTCATTATAATTTGAGGGTCCCAGGAAGATCTTCCCACTTGAAAGTATTTTTCCCGTGGAAGCCTGAAATGGCACCATTAGCAATCCGGGTCTTCGGAGGTAAGCATTGTCCCCTCCGGGCAGGCTCTTCAACAATGCAAACACTCCGCTGGGAACACTTTGAGTCTCTAATACCTCAGGACCTGCTCTCTTTCATCAGATCCCTGTCCCTGGATCTCTATATTATTTCCTTCTATTGAAGGCGGGAGGAGACTGCTGCCTAGAATCCTGGGAGTGAAGAGAGGTGATGAAAGGCAGAGAGAAGTTAGACGGGAGAGGGGAGCAATTCACAGAAGAGAATATAAACAGCCAATAAGCATATGAAACCAAGCTGAGCATTACTGAATTTAAGAAAAATGTATATATGCAACATTTTTAAAGATACCTTTTTCCTAATTAGGTGTGCAAAGATAAGAAGCCTCAGACAACCAGTGTTAGTGGGGTTATGGGGAAATGAACACTCCCATAGACTCTTGGTAGGAGTGTAAATTGGTACAATCTTCCAGAAGGCAATCTCACTATTGACCAAAGTTTTAAATGTGCTTCCTCTTTGGCTCAGCAGTCTCACTTGTAGCAATCTATCCTGTAGAAACATTAAATGAGCATATAAAAATATACAAACAAGGATGCTTACTAAAGCATTGTTGTATTAGAGTAAAAATGAAAACACCTAAAATGCCTGTCAATAAGAGGACAGATAAGTAATTTGTGATTTATTTATACAATGGACTACTAGGCCTCTGTTACATAGAATAAGATACACATTCTGACATAAAAAAGATTAAGTGGAGAGGCTGGGCCCATGGCCCAGTGGTTGGGTTTGTGTGCTCTGTTTCAGCAGCCCAGGGTTTCGCCAGTTTGGATCCTGGGCGCAGACCTAGCACCGCTCATCAGGCCATGCTGAGGCAGCATCCCACACAGCACAACCAGAAGGACCTACAACTAGAATATACAACTATGTACTGGAGGGCTTTGGGGGTAAGAGGGGAAAAAAAAGGAGAAGATTGGCAAGAGATGTTAGCTCAGATGCCAATCTTTAGGAAAAACAAAAGATTAAGTGGAAAAGCAAGATGCAGTGTTGATCCCATATGTGATATTTTAAAAAAATATATGTGTTTAAAAACCATACATTAAAAAGTCTGGAAGAATTGCCCCAACTGTTAACAGTGATCATGGAGGGTGGGGGTCAGGGAATTAAGAGGCAGGGAGAGTATCCTTCTAACTTTATATACTTTCATTAAATTTGTTATAGCAAACAAGTATTACTTTTATAATTAAAAAATAAGTAAAAATTAAAAAGAAGGAAGAAAGGTGAGGGGAAATGAGAGTGTACAGGTGGGCTTGTTGTAATTCACTCTGCATGAGCCTTGGCCCTGGCTCCCCAGGGCATCCAGTCACAGAAGGAGGGTCAGTTGGGCCCATTTGGTCAGGAAAGACCAGGGCTTATGGTTTTTCTTCTAGGCTTCACAAGCCCAGAACATCTGCAAAGCCTCCAATAGCAATGGTTCCCATGAAGGTTGCTGCGAGGATTCAGGGGGATAATGTGTTAAAGGCACTAGGAAAGTGGCTGGCTTGTACTAAGCCCTCAATAACGAGCAGCTCTTAGTTATTATTATTATTATTTAAGTGGATCCTGCAGCCCAGCTCTGTCGAGTGCCCCGCTCCTTCCAGATCCCTCTTGCTGGCACAGATTTTAGCATTCAAAGCAGGTGTACAAATGCTTAGTTTCATGTCAGGGCTATAACTGCACTTAATTGCCAACAAAACCACTTCAAAAGAGCTGTTCACCTAAGGGATGTTCATGCAGATGGAAACCATGGCTACGTGGTTCTCCTCAGCGTTAGAAGAGTGTTACTTCCTTATCCATTAATGAAAATATAAATAAATAATGATCACCATGCAAATGGCACAACTTAGCCTTTGCAAGTTAAAGCAAAAATGGTTACTGGTCCCCCCTTTCATGTAAAAAAAGAAAAAGTTTTCAAAGCAGGTGAAAACAAGAAGTGGAATAAGACTATGTTTCTTCCTCACCCAACCCCCTGGAGAAGTTGGCCTCATACGGCCTCAGAATCCTTCCACTGAAGGTTACCAGAATAGAGATCATGGCTGCACAACCAAATAAAACCCATGATGCAAATAAATTGGAAAAAAATGAATATAATAAATCGACTGAGCCCTTATTTTACTGTAAAATTCTTGCTTTCTCTACCAGGGAGATTGAATAAAGTAAAACTGTGGGCACATGCCTACGATTGCTCCTATGGAGCCAAAAAGTGCTTATTTGTCTGCTAGCATGCATGCACAATTAAAAGTATGGAAAAAATTAAACCAGATGGAAGACATGATCAAGAAGGGAGTTGCCTTTCAGGACCCACAGCTGCTTACAGCTGTGGGAGTTCCTGTGACAGTTTACGTTGGTCATTTTGTTTCCTGCTAAACTGACTGCATTATATCATGATTTTTTTGACAACTTAAAAATCAGATTTTATTTTCTCACTCATAAACTCTTTTAATACCATTCTTAATAAGGAAGAAAAATGTTGAATGTTTTGACCAATATGTGGAAAACCTCGTTTAGGATTTGGTTTACAAATTCCAAGTGGTAAAAGCCTAGTAACATGAAGACCGTGTGTAACCAGGCCAAGAGGATCATAAGATTGACAAATAACATACAGTTCTGGGCACCCATTTATGATTGTGCAAGATCTGTATTTTTGTTTTGTGGTTAACACTGCCTCAGAATTGAGGAGTTACCATGCTAACAAATCATTTGTCTATCATATCACCCACCGCCTTCTATTCTCCATTTCCTCCAGAATAAACTCTCTTGATGGAATTTTAGGCACCCAGGACAAGTCAGTGGGGGAGATATTTTTGGGCAGTCATTCTTAAGTCTACCATGTAGGTGGCTGCCGACTTGCATGCCTGTCCTTCTCACACACTAACGAGTGTAGGTTTGTGTTTCAAAACAGACACCCACAGACACGCAGATTTTCTTTCCTTCTCTCTCCATTTATTTTGAGCTACTCAAGGGAACTGTATCCTATTTATCTCTGTTTACCCAGTGCCTAGCCATAGCGGTTCAATAAATATTTGTTGAATGAATAAAAAGAAATCTGTTCCCTACTTCCTGGGGAAAGGAGTGGTCCCTAATCATGAGTAGAGCCTTTGTGATATCAAACCTTGGAAAAGCCATCTTTAATTGTCTTATGGGAGAGGGGAGGAAGGGAGGGAGGTCAATGAGATTTGGAAACAGAACTTGACCATTCATTCATTTATCATTTATCACAAATATTTATCCAGTCCTGTGCTAGGCACTGAGCGTACAGTGGTGAATATGACACATGGCCCAGTTTTCATGAAGTTCAGAGTCTACTGGAGAGACAGATAAGTAGAAATCAGCAAATAAAAGCACAGAGTATAAATGCTGTGAAGGAAATAACTAGGTGTTAGAACAACATTAATAGATAGCATGGCTGGAGGAAGACACATTTGAGCTGAAATCTACAGGATGAGAAGGTTGAGGAAGCAAAGAGCCTGGTGTAGCTAAGGTACCAAAAGCAAGCCGGTGGGGCTGGAACAAGGTGAGCAGGGGGAGAATGATATGCCAGCAGATGAAGGATGCAAGGACCGTGGTAGCGAATTGGATTTTATTCTAAGTTAAACTTCTTCTTTAGGAAAACAGAAAACTGAACTCCATAATCCTGAATAAAGAGCTCAGAACAGTACCTGACACATGGCAAGTCCTCAATAAATGCTCGCCATTATTATAGATACAGTACCCAACGAAACTAGCAAGGCTTGGTCAAAAGAGTAGAATGGGATGATTAAACTTGAACAATGAAAAGGTACTCATTTACCTGATAAGCATAGTTTTCATTTAACAACTTTTCCACACAACCAGCCAAATTCCAGACAAAAGCAGTCAAATTCCATTTACAAAAGGGAAAGCTTATTTTTGATTGATCCTCTGATATCCAATATTTCTTTGTTTTAAACAATCAAAGGACGGCATAGAGGACTCTACTGTCAGTACCTAATTTTAAAAATAGATGAGGTGGATCATTTTCATCTGCTCACGTAAACCAGTATAAGTTTTTACCACAGGTGGCCATTTCAGAAATGAAAGTTCCAGCTAATCAAACACTTAGCTCACAAGCCTTAGTGATTTTAATGATATGATTTGTTGCTATGAGACAAAAACATGTTGTGCGGGAAATAATCTGTTAGAAATCATATGACCTTGATTCAAAGGCTTTGATTAACAGCACTAACATCCGCTCTCTGGAAAAAAAACAAACCCTATGATTAGAGCTTAGTAGTCCTTTTAAAGCAAATAAAACATTATTAGCCACTTATTAATGGATGTGGGAAGCAAAAATGGCTCCAAACATTAAAAACTCTCAAGGCCACTGGCAAAGTTTCTCCTCTTTTACCTTTTCTTTTCCTTCCTAATCCCAGAAAGAGATACTGAAAAAAATAACCCAAATGGACAGCAGATGAGAAGTAGCCAGTCTAGAAGACCCAAGACCTAGCAAGCAGATGGCTTCTCTTTTCTGTGTGTGTGAAGTTGGCTTTGTGACTATTCAGTCTTCATACATTTATTTTTTGAGCATCCTTTGTGTGCCAGCACTGTGCTTGGAGACATGGTGGCCAACAGACACGGTCCATGCCTTCACAGAGCTTGGATGCCAGTAGGGAAGGCAGACAAGCTGACAAGTAAGCGTCATGCTTACTTACACAGACACGTGATGAGCACCATGAAGAAAATAAAATAGAGGGGATGGGATGAGGCAACTGGGTGAAGGGTTGCGCCTCTTTGAACAGGTGATAGCTGAGCTGAGCCCCGAATGACAAGCAGTTGTTCCATAAAGGTATAGGGCAAAACCATTCTGGGCAGAGAGGGCAAACTCACTCCCAGAGCTGGAGACAAGCTTGAGGTGTTCGAGCTTGTGAAGAAAGACGACCAGGTAGCTGGGCTTGGTGAGCTTGTGAGAGCGTAGTAGGAGATGAGGTGAAGAAGGGCAGAGACTGGATCACGTGGGGTGGATTTTAAGTGCGGTGGGAGATCTCTGGAGGGGTGGAGCTACAGCTGGTTTTGTAAATGGTCCACTCACGTGAGTCTCATCTAAAGCAGGGCTGGCCCCTGCCTGGAGACCTGATGGCACTGGCACTTTTTGCCCCTTTTTCGTTGGGGAAAAGGAGCAGCAGAGGAAAAAGAACAACCTGCCCTGTTGCCTTGAAATTCCAACTGGTGATCGGGATCGCTTGGACTATATCTGACCTGCCCCAGGAAGGCTGTAAAAGCAAAACCTCTGTGGTGTATCTTGTCCCAGACCATAGGGGTCTCTGTGGTCCTGTCTCCCCCTTCTTAGAGATGCCCTCCAAGTCCTGGTCTCCTTTATCAGCCAGGGCTGGGAAAGGCTCAGGCAGATCCTTTTATCCTCCTCGCCTTCCTCAAGCCCCTAATACCATGACTCAGCCTAAGCAACAGCAGGGCAAGGGTCACGGTCAGGGCCAGGAGACCATCTGGGTTGGAGGGGTGTGGTCACTTTTGCCAGAGGAAGCATGACAGGAAAGATCTGGCTGGTGTCATGGATCAAAGCAAATAATAGATTGAATCCAGAGGATCTGATTGTGCTTGAGAGACTGGCTAGAGCGCATTCCCAGGGTCACTCAGCCAAGTTTCCTTAGTCCAGACAGTGGAGACCTGAAGCCAGCCACACTAGTGAACACGCACATTACTTGTTTTCTGTCCTGTCCTCGAGGCCATCACTCCCCTGCATGTTCCCCTAAAAACTTCAATGGCTCCTGACTACCTACCAGACTAAGAGTAAAATTCTTAAGCCACATTCTCACCCCCCACATTCTGGCTCCAACCTACCTTATCTGTTACTTTCTTGCTTACTTGCTAGTTTTATTTCACTTTACATCCTTGCTTGTATCCTACTTACACAGCAGCCAAACTTGAGTATGACTTTTATAATCAGAAAAAGAAAAAGACCAAAAAATATATTGTTTTGAAAAACAAGGTTCCTTCTTGCCCTAACTAGCTGTACCTCCTGGATCATCCAACTTCTTACCTGGGCAGAGGTGGCAATGCTTGGATCACCAGGAGGTGCTCGTAATTTATTTTGTAGGGTTACCCACTTGGCTCTCTCCAGTCCCCTTGTAGGCTGGACCCACCCCTAAGGCGCATGCCCACCGTTTCCTCTCAGATTTCCCACACTGAGCCCCTTCGTGCCTGGACAGGTCCCTCAGAGGCTTCCTCTCTCACCCTTCCTGGGTGTCCTGCATCCCTCCTCTGGCTTTCAGTTGTCTTCTCTCACCTAGTGAGGTAGGCTGCCCTTCTTCCCTTCAGACTGCTGCTTCTGGGCCTGGCTGGGACCATCTTTCTTCTAGATTACACGTTCATATAAGTCACCGCCAGCCCTGGCTGTGCTCCAAGGCCTGCCCTCTCCTGACTGCCCTGGCCCCAAGTGCACGTAGGTTTTAGCAAGAGAAGACCAAGAAAGTTAGGAAGTGTTGCCAACTGGTTGGCTACTTCCCAGAGGTATGAGCCAAGTTTTCATTCATTTACTTCTAAGAGGGAATGGTGAATGCGTGCGTATGTGTGTGTGTGTGTGTGTGTGTGTGTGTGTGTGTGTGTTGTGTCCACTTGGGGGAAGGAAAGGACAGAGTAGTGATTCTGTATCTATCATGAGAAAAATTTCTCCTAGCCTTGTTCTAGAAACTTGGGGAATTACGGTAGGAATGATGGTGTGAGAGAGGTTCTTCATGGTTGGATTATCCTAAGTATCTTATTAAAATAGGGGCCTCTGTGGAGCTTTGTGCTTTCCAATTAGAACACCAAACTCAGGAACTCACAGATGTTTATATTTAGGAGGAAAAGAAAAACAATGACTCAGTTAAATAAAAACCTCTCAAGTAAATAACAGTACAGAAATATGGCAGATATCACGGAGGTGTATCTGGAATCCTCAGTTAGTATCAAGACAAAAATCTGCACTGAGCTTACTCTCCTTTCTCAGGAAGGAGCTAGAATCAATCTGCCCTGTTCTCTTTGCTACAGATGGCCACGACTACCCTCGAGCAGCCTACCAGCAAGCCATCCAGCCGGCTCTGCCTGGGCAGCCCCTACCTAGAGCCAGTGTGAGAGGCGTGCACCCTGTGCAGAGGGTCGTCCTGAATTATCCTAGCCCCTGGGACCAAGAAGAGAGGCCCGCACAAAGAGACAACACCTCCCCAGGACTCCCGAGGTATCAGTAAGTATGACAGGGCCAACTTTCAGATATTTTTAACATGAAAAAGAATGATGCCAGTGCAATCAAGATGTATCAAAACTCTGTGGCTTTGCTACCCATGTCAGTGACCAAGTCACACAGGGGAATGCCCCACAGAGACTTTTTAGGTCAGGAGGAAATGGAAGCTGGTTGACAAGAATGTCTTTACCAGACATATAAAGCCACTGGTGACTAGTCAAAATTCTCTTGAAGGAAAGGCTCTTAAGATGCTAAGTCACTCCCCACTTCTTTTACTTTCAGGTCACCTGGCCTTTTAGTCCATGAGAGAGATCTTTATTTTTATGATGACTGGCTTCCGCTGTTAGGAAGGTCCTTTGTAGACCCTTAGTTTCTATACCTGTTTAAGCACATGTCTTACTTTGAAATTTTAAATTTAATTAGTTCTCAATAGAAATTTAAAATAAGCTATTTTCTTTTGTAATAAAAGCAGTCACTCACGCTGAACATCATTATTAGGTCTTTCCTATACTTATTCCAGGAAAACAATTCTGGTTTCTCTTGACTTCAGTTGTCTAATGCTTTATAGTCATGCACCGCATAATGACATTTCAGTCAATGACAGACCACATGTACAATGGTGGTCCCATAAGATCAGGAGCATAGCCTAGGTGTGTAGCAGGCTATACCATCTAGGTTTGTGTAAGTATATTCTATGATGTTCGCACAACGATGAAATCACCTAATGACATATTTCTCAGAACATATCCCCGTCGTTAAGTGACACATGACTGTACTCATTTTTCTCCTCATTGTTCTCTTTTGACTCTTCAAGTGTTCCTTTTCTCTGAATTTATGGATCTAAAATATATATGAAAAACTCATGTAAATAGAGCTTCCTAATTTATGACAAAATTAGAAAGAGCGTGGATGAAATGTTTGCTCTTGTTCAAGCATAACCTTTATATACCACTCAAAGTAAAACTATATTCTGTTTTGAGAATCAGTATGAAGGTCCTATTAAAGCAGATTCTCAGAAATATAGAAATTGATAATTAGCTCAAAACGTTTATTGAAAGAAAAAAGCCCACTCTATTTACAATAGCAGACCTCTGTTTCCCCTTTATTCAAAAGCTCACAGCCCTCAGATTTTCTTTCCAGACAGGTCCCTTATTTTTTTAAAACAAAATTACATGGAGTTTAAATAATGGAATTAAGTAAAATATGATTTTACAGACAGATAAGCACTCTTGCAGAAGAAATATCTAAAATTCCAAGAAAACAAACAAAACTTAAGCATCTTTATGAAACACGGTTGGTGTTGAATAGGGGAGGCCATAGTAATTTTTAAAATAAACATTTATTTTGAAATAATTCTAGATTTACAGAAGAATTGCAAATATAGTACAGAATAATTGCTTTTGTAACATCAATTCAAGCCTGCTCTGGTCTCCTTGGATTTATTATTTTAGGATAATGAAAAATAAGTTTAGGCAATGAAGCTAATTCTCCTGATACTGAAAATCTGAAAGAGCACCTTAATTCAGAAAGTTTACTCAGTCATTAATCTTCATGATATTGTTTTTATATGGAAGTTTTTGAATATTATCAAGACCTTAACATTTCTTTATCAAATGAGCAATTGTCTTCTATAACAACTAAGCAACTTTGGGTATAAAGAGATTTAATGCATAAAGGATATGGAACTGGATCACCATTAAATGACGGCATATTTTATAGGAATTTTTTCCATATAGTAATAAAAATATAAAATAAAAATAACTTCCTCAAACATTCACATTTTAGAAATATAGTATATTTGAGATTCTGTGTAACTTTATTTTATAATCTGTTACATAAGACTTTCAGAATTTTTGATTACTCTTTTGGGTAAAAATATGAAAACATAAGCAACAATTTATAAAAACTGGCATATACAGATAGATTTTGTAATCAAAACATTTTTAAATTTATAATATAAACAATCTCAAACACACAACAAATAACAAACATCCATGTTCCCACTACCTACATTTTTAAAATGTTAACATACTGCTGCATTTGCTTCAGAGTTTTTTAAGGAAATAAAACACTACGGTTGTAGACCCCCTGTCAGTAAGGATTCACTTACAGAAAACAGAAACAACTCAAGCTATTTTAAGCAGAAGAGAGTTAATACAGGGAATCAGGTGCTTACAAAATTGTTGGAGGTTGCAGCAGCGAGCTTTAGGCTGGGCTTCTAGGAGTGATCCCAGAGCAACACCACAGAACAGGACTCCCAAGAAGCTTCTTCCTCTGTCACGGTCAGAGAGGCAGAGGATCAGAAAGCCCCATGACTCTCCATTCTAGGCCATGCTGCCATAGTACCATCCAGAATCAGGAAGCTGCCACCGCTGCAGCTGTTGGGTCCATTCTGTGCCTACTAGATCTGTACTGGCCAAAAATGGATGCCCACGCCCTGACCTTGACACTGCGAAGCTGATAAAAGGACACTGGGATGCTTCCTGAGGAACTCAGCACCTCGTGACAACACTTTCCAACAGAAACCACAGAAGTGGCACAAGGGTGGTGTCCACTTCCTGCTACTTTCCAAATCACACATGAGTGCGTCTGATTGGTCTCAGCAGAATGTTCAGCGGAATACTGGCAACCAAAAAAATAATGAAGGTGCCCTATGACAATGTGGTAGAAACTTCTTTAAAGGAGTGAGCTTCAAAATCAGACTTTCATCCATATATTAACAACATAAATACCTTTGAACCTACAAAGCCTTTTCTACCTTTTGGTACATAATGAACTGTTATCTATCTAGAAATCCTGTCTTCTTATCTGAATGCCTGTAACACCAACCTTGTATGCCACCCATTCTACTAGTTTGTTTTATTGGTGACTTAGTCTGCCTTGTCCGTGAGACTGATCTTCCCAATTAGACAGTCCTTGAATGGAGAAATCAAGTCCAGCTTCCCTCTTTCAACCCCTAGCACGGGCCTGTACTTATGGCAGCCGGCCAAACTGCTTATTGACTGAAACCCATGGAGCACCCCTCGTTCCTCTGGCTCAGAAAAGAAATGGAAGCAGAGGAGAGAGAGAACTCATTGGTATCTTCCCAAAGTTCTTACAGGCTTTCTGTCCCTCTAGGTTTGCCTTTGTGAAAAAGGAAAATTTCATGTAAACGTCTTCCTTTCCAGGGACCAGCTCTATAACCAGCCACCTAACAGAGCTGGAGCTCCTGAGGAGTCCTTGGAGTGTCCTGCAGAGTTGAGACCACAGGGTCCCCAGGCTCCATCCCCAGCGGCTGTGCCTAGACCCCCTAGTAACCCTCCCGCCAGAGGAACTCTGAAAACAAGCAATTTGCCAGAAGAATTGCGTAAGTTGTTTGCAATCTTGTTTTTTCATTCTTGTCAGGTTTTCTACTTTGAGAGTATTTGATGACTATTCATCCACAATCTTGGATATTTCTCACAGACACAGTGAAATAAAATTTACTTTTTTGTTTTTTGCTTAAAAAGTAACCAGCATTTTGTATGAGTGCTTTTAGTGATTCTGACACTACCAGCAATGCTACTCACAAAGTGCTTACTATTAGGTTTTCTGAAACATATACTCCAACAACAAATAACCCCAACACTTTTCCCTCTTCTAAATGATGCTCTTGACTGGACTTGTCCCTGAGGAAATTGATTGGATGTCCATGTGGTATTGGCCAGGGACCTAGCGTCTCACCATAAATTAGCAACAGCCATCAAGAACGAGGTCATTTCCTGTAGGAATGAGCAATCTTGTTTGGAAAAAGCCGCTCACATTCTCCATACTGTTTTACGACCCAATGCAAACTAAGGCTTTTATTTAAAGAAACATTCGACTAAGTGTCAGGTGATGATTCTTTTTCCACATTTTGCAGCCAGAACCAGAAATATTGAAATCTCACCAAACTGTTCTCATATTAAGGTCAGTCAGGACAGTAAGTTCCAGAAATCTTAAGAAAACAGTCACTGCTTGTGAAATTGTGATATTCTGTTGTGCTTGCTAGAGAAGCTCAGGTAATTCTTGTAAGTGCTTTCCAAATCTGGGCGCCTCTTTGAACCAAACTTAAAAATTAAGCCCTTTGCATTTGTTAATTCCTCTTGAAGGATGTGTGCTGTTTAGTCATTTAGGACTCTGAAAATTTTCTATGACAATGATCCATTGTTATTTTTCATTCAAAAGAGTTCTTCTTTAATCTTCTTCAAATCTTATACAATTTAATTTTGAGCATTTCTGGAGAATAGGTGCTGCCCTGTGTAGGATACAGCCCTGATATCAGTCTCTGGATCATATTTATCTTACCATAATCTATAAAGGAAGTCCTAAAATTCTTACATAGGAATTGGCTGAATATTAAGTGTTGAGAAGAAAATAAATGGAATGCCATCAATTTGCCAAGCTCCGTAAGTGAGTCAATATGACCACCATACACAGTTCCACTTAAGAGGTATGTTTCAAAAAAAAGAGCCTAAGCATAGATGAATACATATTGACTCAAATTTTCGCTCCAACCCCCCTTTCTTCTCTACCTTCTGCCCTGGGGGCTTCCTGGGATTTTAGCCAATCCATTCGAGACTAAAAACTAACACAGAGATTATTCATCTATCACTTTAACATGCTAGCCAGGTAATTTCCCCAAGACTTTAGCCTGAGAAAACACTGGTTTTCATCCTGCCTGGGTTAAGCTTGTGCGTGTGCTACCATCTGTTGCTCCAGCTGACCTAGGGAGGAGCGAGGGAGTCAGTGACCCTGGACCCCCCAGAGGTGGTGTCTCTCCTTCAAGCTGCTGAAGTTCTCACTAACATTTCTGAGCTGCACTTTAATCTGCTCCAATTTCCTGGCCTTTCCCTCGCCAGTAAGTGGATGGGGGGATGGAGGGGATAGGGACCCACTTCCTCCCTCTCCCCTCACTTGCTCTTGTCAAGCAAGAGTTCAGGGCAGCAGAGAGCATCATGAGATCAAAAGAGGACACGGCTGGGTGGCCCCTCAGCAAGGCTGAGCTTCTTGGCTTGCTGTGAGTATTCCTTGGGCACGGTGCCAAGCGTCTCTAAGAAACCAGGTGGTGGCCTGATCTTAAAGACCCGCAGGTTCTGGGTGATGGATTTTTTCTTAATGCATCATGTGGTTTTTCAGAAGACCTCCTCGGCTCGTCTCGCCTGCCAGTGCTCTCCCCTGTGCCTCCTCTTTCTGTGTACCCTGAGCAGTCTGCCCTCCCTTGCACAGACCCCACTGCCCCTTTGGGCCTGTGAATCTATGTCCTAAACCATCCTGAGGTTTCCCTTTATTATTCTAGAAGGACAAAAGACATTGCATGCAATTTACAAGTGTGTTCGGAGTAAAATAATTTTACTCGTTTCTAATAAATAAAAAAATCTCTCTTAGGGAAAGTCTTCATCACTTACTCTATGGACACAGCCGTGGAGGTGGTGAAATTTGTGAAATTTTTGTTGGCAAATGGCTTCCAAACTGCTGTAAGTATTTTACCCCAAGAGAACTGAACAATTAAAGAGAGTACAATGAAAAGTAAAACAAAAGGAGAAATAGGATAAATAGCTGTTGATGTTTTAAATTATATTATTTGATTTATGTGGTTATGAACTAAATGCTTATGGGTTTAGGCAGTTATTTTCTAGAGTTTAAGCTGTCTAAAGTCTCCAGCATTGTTTCCCAGCATGCTTTTTGAGTGAGCTTGAGCACCCCGGGGTAGCCGGACGGTGTTATGCCGACCACATGCGCAGGCGGAAGGAAGCGCCAGGCTCGCGCTGCACCTTGTACCTTTGCCCCTTTCCACCAGTCGTGCTGCTTTGGTTGTGCTTCTGGTGATGCAGATGGCTGCAGGCTTCCCCGCATCACCTGCTTATTTTGCACGGTCCTTTCGGTCCGCACTGGCCTGTGGGGTTGGAAGGAGAAGCCTGCAGCCTGGGTGCCCCCCATGCACAGCTGCCGTTCCACACCTTAATGCAGGCCGGGGCTGCGAGGCCGGGTTCTCGGCTGCTCTGGTCGGGTTCTAGGGGAGGCAGACAACCCAGCCCTGCGGTTCACTGGGATCCTGGCCCAAGAACTCTCAGGAAGCGCACACTTCTCAAGTCCCCCTGCAGTGCCTTGACACAGCACAGCTCAAAGCCACGTAAGTTTTTCTTTGGGATAAAGAAAATACCACAGGGGGCTGCTCGGAGAGCTGGCTTTCCTTAACATTGAGACCACTTCTTTTCCTTCCCAGATCCCACCTCTGGGTATTTAGTGACAGCAAATTCTAGAGAGTGGTGAATAATTAAGGGAAATGTCTACAAATAGGAATGTTGAAGGATAAAGAGGGAAACACTTAGTGACTAAAGGTCCATTTTAAAGATTATTTAGCATTATTTAACAGGAGTTTTTATTTGAATTTTTCCCTTATTCTGTAATTTTTTTTTTTTTAAAAATGGGAGTGTCTGGAAGTTTTAAAAAAAGAATACAATTTATACACTCCAACTTCATGACTATATCATGACCAACATTTCAATTTCTCATTTCTGGAATAAGAAAGCACTGTGGTAACCATGACATAAAATAAAATTACAGGACATAAGGCCAACATTTAGAAAAGATCTTACTGTTGGTCATTTCTAAATAAGTATACTGAGGGGCCGGCCTGGTGGCACAGCAGTTAAGTTTGCACGTTCTGCTTCTTGGCAGCCTGGGGTTCGCCGGTTCGGATCCCGGGTATGGATATGGCACTGCTTGGCAAAAGCCATGCTGTGGTAGGCGTCCCACATATAAAGTAGAGAAAGATGGGCATGGATGTTAGCTCAGGGCCAGTCTTCCTCAGCAAAAAGAGGAGGATTGGCAGTAGTTAGCTCAGGGCTAATCTTCCTCGAAAAAAAAAAAAGTATACTGACTGCTACTGGAGAGGAAGACAGGTTTTTGTGACCTTAACAATCAGCAGCTGCTTAGACAGAATCTAAATCTGTCCTTGACCCCTCATCACTATGAAGCCTCGTGGTAGAATCTCGGAGCACCGTCCTGGACAGCTAAGTTACTATACTGATACAGCAAGATCCCCTTAGTGGAGAAAAAAACTGAATGGGTACTTTAAGGAGAGTTTAACGAAGGGACTATTTCAAAGCTCTAGGTAAGTTTTAGGGAATCCACCGAGAATAGTGCAATAGCCTGGGACTAACAAAAGCAGGTTGTTGCTAGCACCCCGAGGTCTAAAGGGGCCAGCGAACGGTGGTTACTGCAGCCCGAAGAGGAGGCTGTATTCGTTGGCTAGAGCTGCCATAAAGTTCCACAGGCTGGGGGGCTCAAACAACAGAAATTTATTTCCTCATAGTTCTGGAGCCTACAAGTCCAAGATCAAGGTTTCAGCCGGGTTGGTTTCAGTCTGAGGCCTCTTCCTTGGCTTGTAGATACCCATCTTCTCCCTCTGCCTGGTCTTTCCTCTGTGTCTCCGAATCTCCTCTTATAAGGACCCCAATCATATTTGATAAGGGCCCTGTATGACCTCATTTTACCTTAATTATCTCTTTAAAGGCCCTATCTCCAAATACAGTCACATTCTGAGGCACTGGGGGTTAAGACTTCAACATACGAACTTGGGAGGGACATAATTCAGCCCGTAACAGCAGCTATGTGGAGAAGTTGGCTTGCCAGGAGCTATGGATTTTAGTAGAAGTCTGGAGAGACAAATGGAAGATAACCAGCACATTGTGCCTCCCAGAATGTCCACCTAACAGAGAATAATTTAGGTGCTGGGATAATAATAATAATGATCATTTATCGAGTACTTACTTCATGCCTGGCATTAGGATATGCCTTTTCCATGTTAACTCATTTTAATCCTCACAACCACAATAGGAAGTAGGCTTGTTAGCCATATATTACAAATGAAGATAATAAGACTTTGAGAGTTTCAGTAACATTTCCAAAGTCATGCAAGTGGGAAGTGCAGAAGCCAATAGTGGAACTGAGAGTAGAGCCACATCATCTGTCTCTTCTCAACCCTCACACTATACTGCTTCCATCTTATACAACAGAAATGGAGCACTGATGCAGTCACAGAGAGATACAAAAGCTTCCTCAAGGTTACCCCAGGAAGTCATTGGCCATCACACATTTTAAAGCAGGAATCAACAACCCAAAGGAAATCCACTCCATTTTTGATGTCCCATCAGTAAAGAAACATATTGTAAACTTGTATTATGTACTGTTCGTATCTGACAGTTCGGTGGACACGAGGCACCATCTTGTTCCATAGGAAGCTTAGAACCAGGCTGAAGAGAGATGGCGGACATAAAGGAGACAGTTAGCAAATGAAAGAATGTTATGATAATGTGTTAAGCGTCCAGTACCACTAGTGGTCACAAGGGTTAGGTGAGGTGAAGAGGACGTCAGTGTGTGGGGAGGAGTCACAGAACAGGGGGTTTGCGCTGTGCTTTCAGGTGCAGGGGTGCCAGTGTGGGGAGTAAAGTAGACAGGGCGTGTGGGGAAAAGAGGCAAAGTGCATTGCAGATGGTGTGGAAAGCTTCCTGAGTGTGGGACTTGGCAGAGTGACATTTAGGACAATTGGTCTGGGAGTAGTGTGGCTGAACCAAACAGCCCCTCCTCAAGGACACTCTCCCTGTCACCTATCTCAGTACATAATCCCTCTTCCAATCAAGAGCACCTTGGACACACACACTCTACTCTCTGGCTGCAGGACAAGCCTGAGCCCAAGAAAGGCCTTCTTATTTGGTCTTCTGTAAAATAGAAAACAACTGGTTTTTCTCCCCTTCAAAGACTTGATATTTAATATCAGTCTTTTCCAGGCCTACGAGTTCTCCTCCTTGACTTTCATCATGAACCTTTCCCCCACCATCTCCGTAATTGTTTTTGTGACTGTTCCTTGGATTCGCTCCAAGTTTCATGCAATCTTTTTTTAAAGGTATGGATAGAAACTGGACATAATACCATAATAATGACCTGGCTCGTGCAAGTAATGCACTACAATTGTATCTCAGTATTTGCATGTCACGCATCCATTAAAATGTTCCAGAATCACGTGTGCCTCTCAAATTACAGATATATACATAGTGTGGTATATAGTATGTATATTGCCGGCTTACATCCAACTTGGTGGTCTACTATGTCTCTCCGATTTTTAAAACATAATTACTGTGTAGCCAAAAATACATTTTAATGTGTACCACTATATCCTAATTATGGATATTTAATACTTCAATGCCGACTAACGTTGAAACTGGGAACATTTTAAGAAAATTGTATTTTGTTCTTTAGATTTACATGCGCCTCCCTGCAAAAAGCATTGGTCCCTTTTTCAGTTTTAGATGTATATGTTTTCTTGTGTTTTTTTTCTTGCTCAGCGTCTGGAGAAAGCTTCTCATTAAGAGCCACCTCCCACATCTTTTTCTTGTAGATTGACATATTTGAGGATAGAATCCGAGGCATTGATATCATTAAGTGGATGGAACGCTACCTTAGGGATGTAAGTACATTCCAAAATTCTGAGCTTGTTTTCTGGTGAGAAAGACAATTAGCTTGCGAAGTTATTTCAGGAAAGAAGCAGAGGCATGGCCACCAAGCCCAAAGCTGAGAAAGTCGCAACAAAGCCTCCCTTGTTGGCAGCTGTGCTGAGGCCTGGAGAGGAAGGATGGGGTCGCCCTCCTGGACATGCCCGGGCAGGAAATAACAGTCAAACCAGACACAGGTGGTTGATAACAATCAGAGCAAACAATTTTTTGACCAGAATAGGAAAGGAGGAAATGAAGGCGGGGAGTGGGGATGGACCGGCGAATTCAATTTAATCTGAGGCCACCCCAAGTGTTTGGTAGGATAGGGCTGCAGAGGTTTCCAGGCAGCCTCGCAGGCCACGCGGCACACCACCCCCAGGCGCCCCCCTTGCAGCTCTGTGATTTGTTTTCCACTGACAGAATCTATACTGGCCACTGTGACACTTTGTGCTTTAACAAGATAGAAATTGATTGCTGCCAGCGTGGCCGTGTCGGCCGCTTCGGCCGCTTCTTTCGGAGGGAGCGGCGGGGGGACAGTCTCAGCAGGCTGGGGTTTTGCGGCTTGTCCTTTTGTCTGCAGCCTGATGTTTCCTTTGTGCTGAAGGGTCTGTTGCGCCTGACTGTGCTAACACGCACAGTGGCAAGCAGGGCAGTCAGGAGTGCAGTAACTGACAGCTTAGATCCGGCGGCCGGAGGGAGGGAGAGAGGGAAGGGGTTTTTCATCGCGGGTGTTGCAGAGCCTTTTTACCAGGATGCAGAATCACTTAGTGATTCCGGCTCTCATCAGACGTTTATTAGTGATGGTTGTGGAAAATGGTGGGTAAAACCGCATCCATTTAGGAGAGCCCCTGTCGGAGCCATTTGCTCTGCGTGTTTGAAGGGGGCCGGGGAGGGACTCAGAGGGGAGAAGGAGAGACAGGAGTCTGCCTGAGTGGGGGCCTTTCACTTTCCACAGAGAAGGAGCCCAGCCCTCCATCCTCGAGTATGTCAGAGAATGCTTACAATCCTGCTGGCCAGCTCCCAGTCTGCCTTCACCAAATGGACCACACTTTACACTTCCATAAACACGCTTTCTCCCTCTCATTAACAGAAGACAGTGATGATAATCGTAGCAATCAGCCCCAAATACAAACAGGATGTGGAAGGCGCTGAGTCGCAGCTGGACGAGGATGAGCATGGCTTACATACTAAATACATTCATCGAATGGTGAGTGCTGAGGGAACCCCAGCACCTTGCCGCCCCTTGGAGATGAGCTCTGCCTTCTTCACTAGAGACCCGCTGAGGGTGGCATGAAGATGGGCGAAGAACCTCAGGCAGGAGAGGGGGATGTTGGTTCCGGCTCCATCTACCTTTGGGACATTGGGCAAGTCACCGGAGCTCTGGGACTCTATTCCTATCAGTAACAAGGGGAGATTAATCCATCATCTCTAAGTTCCAAGATTCTGGAAGGCAGCGCTCCGCTGGCTTGGTTGTTTACCAACAAATATGAAGTCCTAGGAGGGGCTGGAGACAAGGCTGTGAGGAGAGCAGGCCCCTGCCTCTGTGTCATATTCTGTCCCCTGCCTTTTCAGAGGGGCAGAGAAGCACAGTGAAACGGACACGTGCTCTTGTGTCAGAAAGACTTGGTTCACATCCAGCTTCCCCACGTACATGTTGTGTGACCATGGGCCGACTGCTTAAACCTCTTTGTGCCTCACGTCCCTATTCATAAAACATTTAAATACACTAATACTTACAGTGTTGTTGTGAAGATTAAATGAAATAATAGGTGTGAAGTATATGGCACACATCTGATGCTCAGACAAGGGAAGGGGTTGTTCTTAGCTCGTGATAGATGAGCAAGAGTCCACTGCCTCAGCCAAACTATGGGGCCTGGTCACATTAAAACCAGGGGAGAAATTTATAGGGAGGCAGACTTACTCAGCATCTGATAGAGCATTCTGACTGAAAATATCACCCAGCCCTGGAACTGGCTGTTTTATGGGCTAGCAGTCTTCCTACTTTCCATGATTGTAGAGACGCTGTGGAGCGTGTTCCTGCTTCACCTGGATGCCCGACTAGATTTGTGATTTTCAAACTCTCCTGTGGAGACCCTAATGGATGCCCATGTGTGCTGGGGGTGGGGGTGGTCTGCCTTTTAGGCTTGTTTGTTTACCAAGGATTCTGAGATTTACAAAGGCTTGAAAATCACTGGACTAGGACTTGTGAGCTCCATTTCAGCTGTAACATTCCACAAGCAGAGAAGGCACCTGGAATGGGCATAAAGGAGCTAGAAGCACAAGTGGCCCAGATGGAATAAGGGAGCAGCACAAGGCAGGAGGCAGTCAGGCAGTCGAGGGACATGAGCTTTACCTCAGGGGAAGCTGACTTAAAGCCAGGTCTGTCTTGTGGATCAGGAGCACAGGACAAAAGTGGGGGGGTGGGTTGGGGAGTGCTCCCCATCTGGGTCTTTAGGGTCTCTGTCTCCTCTTCTGCCAAGTATTGACCACTTATTTGAGCTCAGAACCAACCCAAAGTAAAAGCCGAGGTAAGATGGTGAGGTCAAAGAGTAAAGCTGAGAGGTCAAGAGATAGTGTCTCTCCCATTCCATTCTCATAGCCATGGGCTTGGCCCAGAAAAGGTACCATTTCTGCCCTAAAAGGTCATGGCTGGCTCTGGGTGCTGCCATCCCTTGGCTGTCAGCTGCATGTCGCATGGACCCAAAGCACTCGATGTCCTGCCTGCATCTCTAGGAACCTGCCAGTCCCGGGAGCTGACAGCTGGTGTGTGGGAAGGGCTCCAGGTCCCTGCCAGTTCCTGAGGAAACCTGTCAAGCTCTGCTGGTGTGTGGCAATGCCAGGCAATAATACGCAGCTCAGCCTCAGAGCTTGTCTGACTGCTCAGCCATGAGCCAGATTGTCTCCAAACTCGGTTTCCTAGGGCGATGATGTCTTAGACCCTTCTTCATCACTGAAGTGGGTGAAGAGGCCAGACACAGAAGTGCCTTACTGCCCACCTGGCTGACTTCCTGGTCCCCTCCAGGAAGCAGAAAGCTCCAGGACAGAGTGAGTGAAGAGTTACTCACTCTCATGAGTAACTGCATCATAGAGCTAATGACTTCTTAGAGGGCCAACATCTGGAAATAGGAGAGAAAATAAAAAATGCACTGCTGCTGGCTGGCCTCTCAACGCATTGGGTAGCTTAGTGGACAAGCAAAATTTTACAGTATACGGTGTTCTGGAAGTCAGAAATGAAATCCAGTTCTCTACTTTTAACTTATGAGCTCTCTGCCCTTCCTTTCATGTATTTGTATGGGTGTGACTGGTGCTTTTTGTTGCACAGTACCTGGGGCATTTTAAAATATGCTTTTGGTGTTGTCGTCTGATTTTTTTTTTTTTCTTGCTGAGGAAGATTTGCCCTGAGTGAACATCTGTGCCAATCTTCCTCTATTTTGCATGTGGGTTGCCGCCCATAGCATGGCCACGGACGAGTGGTATAGGTCCGCACCTGGGAACCAAACCTGGGCTGCCAAAGTGGAGCATGCCAAACTTAACCACTAGGCCACTGGGCCAGCCCTGTCTTCTGGTTCTTAAAGGGAGGTGGTTCTGAGAAAACACCTTGTGGAGGATTTGTGTGTACTGTGATTATGTGTGTGTGTGTATTTGTAAATGTCTAAGAGTGTGTGTTTAGGAGGGGGTTTCTATGGTGATTTCAATAACCACTCGTCACCACTGTCACTTTCTTCTCCATTCTGTTTTTATTCCCATGCACGAGGAAGACTTCTTGGCTATAAAAATCAATCGGAAGGTGAAACAGTTGGGCGCACATAATTCCTCATCTCCTTGTCATCAGAGGCCTGAAAGCTTTGTGCTGGTCACAGGATTTGGAAGACTCTAAATCCCCTCATATTTAAAATTCTGGTTTTGATACAGTTCTTGGCAGCTAAATCTTTTTGGGCCAGCGCAGTGTCTGAGCAAGCTGGGACTGGTGTGGGGAACCTAAAGCTTGGTGGACAGAGCTCTTCACAATCGGCCCCCCAGCCCCGCTCCCCGTCCCTCCCAAGCCTGTCCTGTGCTCTGGCTGCAGTGCATTACTAGCTGGTCCAAAGCCCACTCACATACTTTCTCACCTCTGGACATTTGCTCATGCTGTCTCCTCTCCTGAGAATGTCCTTCCCCCACCCCCATTTTGCCCTGCCTGACCAAATTCTTTTCGTTCAGTATCCAAACGACACCTCCCTTGTAACTCCTTCAAACCACTGGGGTAGAATAGATGGACCTCATTTTGGGACTGCCTCAGCAGTTTGTTCCTACTGTTCGTACTGCACGGTGGCTGGTCATTTACTTTTCTGCCTCCTCACTAAACTGCTGGCCTAGTGAGGATAAGGATTGTATCCGTGGTGTTCTGGTAAACTGGTTCTAAAAAAAAAATTCCTGATTTGTAGCATTTGCGCATTTCCATGGTATACATATTCTCACCATGGCCAATTTCAAGCTACTAATATGAAGTCACTGAACACAGAACTGGGAAGAAATGCACACAACTGGCTTTTGTGGGCTGATGTGAGCCAACTTAGCACATGTTGGAAGGTATCCTAATCCTTGAATCCTCTAGCACAGAGTGTGACTTTTAATAGGTCTTCAATACCTGGTTGATGAATGAGTGAATGGCATAGGAGTGTAAGGGGGAAAGCTTAAAACTACAAGTGTGTGGCACTCAAATAAGGAAATCAGAATAAAAATACCGTGTGGGCGTGCATGATGGTGGGTACCATTAACTCTTGATCCTCATTCCCGAAATTAAACCTTCAAATTTGTTCTGTTCCAGATGCAGATTGAGTTCATAAATCAAGGAAGCATGAATTTCAGATTCATCCCTGTGCTCTTCCCAAATGCTAAGAAGGTAAACAAACAGAAAAGCTTATAACTCAAGCTTTTGGTTTGCTTACCATCTGGGATTCTAAGTGGAAAGGCTTGTCAACTCTTTATCAACCCTTCAAGAAGATAACTGTTACCAGAAAGATCAACGAGTTGTACCACTCAGTTGAGCAGCACCATCAGGAAGGTTTCACAGCGATATCTGAGAGACCATCGTGGTCCTAATTGTTCAAATAGCCATTACACACAAAGAAGTAGTTTGTGTTTTAACTCAGAGAAAAAGAGACTGTTCATCTGATACTTCTTATCTCTTGTACATAAAAGTCAAGATGTGTAGGGTTTTTACTGGCTGTTCCACGGAAGTATTTTGTTGCACAGTTCAGCTCTCAAAGCTGTAGAATACAGGAATTAAATCTACACAGTCACCAGAGTGAACCTTGCTGGGGTTCATACGAGGGGTTTTGCACCAGAGGGCATGCCAGCAGGTTTGGGGAATGGGGGCAAAAGCATCTGAGGCCACATGCCAGGCTTTGCGAAGGGAAGGCAGTGGTGTAGCAAATGTCTTGAGAGTCAGACCACAGCCCCATGAGCTCAGGCTTCACCCTGGAGGAGCCCTAGATGTCAGGACTGCATTGAGACTTCCGCCCTGAATGAGGGAGTCCCATTTATGTGAATGAGACATGCAGGCTTGTATAGTTCACAACCTGCACAACAGTATGCCTTTGCATCACTGGAAGATCTCCTTACTGGTCTCCCCGTCTCATCTTTACCTTGTACTAGCATCCTCTTCTCTACCGTCAAAGAGGAAATAAAAAATGTAGATCTGATCTATCTCTCTCCAGCTTAGACATTTTTTGGTGGTTTCCCACTGACTACAAGATGATATCCACCTTTCTTAGAATGACGTATGAGGCTCCTTAGAAGAGAATTCTGCCTACTTGGTCTGCCTTCCCTCTTATCACCCTGTGCACAGACGACTCTACCATCTCATCATACTGGACTATTTCGGCATGCCCTCAGACACACCATGTTCTTTCATGTTTCTGTGCCTTTGCACTTTCTATTCCCTCTACTTGCAATGCCCTTCCCTGACTTGTCTGTCTCGTGAACTCTTGCTTATTCTTCTATCACCCAATCTCTCTGGCCTCTCCGGACCTCTCTTCCCCCATGCCGAGGTATTGAATTGTCCCTCTCTTGGGAGCTCTTAATTATAGTACCTTGAGTCAGTGGTATGTGGTTGGGGTGGGGGTGCTGGGAGTAATTGTTTAGAATTCCTGCATTATGGTGATAGAAAAAGCAGACCAATTTTTCATTGGTTTTATTGTTTTTAAAACTTCTTCAGGCAATCCCCTTGTTGCCTGTGCTCGGGCAGACTGTTCCCACTGCCTGCCCCCTTGGGACACCATTGCCTAGAAAGTAATTTCTTTACATTTTGACTCCATGATAAGACTGTGAGCTCAAGGCGGTACCTGTGTCGTTTTCATTTGGGTATCATCAGTACCCAGCAGGATGCCTGACATATAGCAGGTGCTACTTCTCAGCTCATCCTGCAGTCCCCAAAGGAGTCCTGTGTCCTCAGAGTAAACCTACCAGGCCCTATCTGACACAGCCCCCTCTACCTTCAGACCTCCTCACTCTTCTCTAGCCACACTGGCCTTGTTGCTCCTTGAACAGACCAGGAATGCTCCCACCACAGGGCCTTTGCCCTGGCTCTTCTATCTGCCTGGACCCACGTGTCCCTGAAGCCCGCTCTCTCTGCTCTTTCAGGTCTTTGCCCATTTTCGTTAGTGAGGCTTTTCCTAAGTACCCTATTTAGAACTGCAAACCTTTCTTCCCTGCCCTGGCACTCCCTAGCCCCTTTCTCTGTTTTATTTTTCTCCACAGCACGTATCACCATCGAACACAGTATACATTTTACTTCTTCATTATGCCTTTCCCCAACAGAATGTCCACTCCCTGAGGGCAGTCTGAAACTGCACCCCCACGATCCCAGGCTTACGGTTTCTGCTTGTGCCTGATAACTGAGATCTGGGGGGCTCCTTCTACTGCAGGCCAGCCCCGTGGCTGGAATGAAAGGATGATGAATTAGATTAAGCCCATAGCCTCGGCATACTTCTTGTGAAGCCACAGGGGAATTCACATCTCTCTGCGTGACCTCTGTCCTACCCCTTTTATGTGAGGGTGGTGAAAAGCACGTTGAAATGCAAAGGGCAGGTAGCCTGGGAGACTGACAGAAAATGCTGTGCACATGTGGTTTCCATGATGAGATACGCAGCTTGCACCCGAAGCCAAGAGCATTTCACGTGCTCACTCTTCCAAAAGCAAAATAGACAACTCCCAGGATAGGGAGAGCCGGAGATGTTTGGGAATTGAGCCTGGGATCTGGAATCCAGATTTTTCTCCAATGGCCTTTGCTCCTGTCATTCTCTCTCCCACAGGAACATGTGCCCACCTGGCTTCAGAACACTCACGTCTACAGCTGGCCCAGGAATAAAAAGAACATCCTGCTGCGGCTGCTCAGAGAGGAAGAGTATGTGGCTCCTCCCCGGGGGCCTCTGCCCACCCTTCAAGTGGTACCCTTGTGACACCTTCCATCCCCAGATCACCGGGCCACGCCACGTCTGGGGCCCTGTTCTGACAAGCACGCCTCTAGCTGAGGCTGTTTGTTTTCAGTCCCTCTCAGAGGGGCCCTCCTACCCCAGAAAACCTGTTCTGCAGAGCACTCTCCCTCCTGGGACCTCACTGACCCTGTCTTTGAAACGGAGGCCGTGGCTGCTCTGCATTCCCTGCTTCTGAAACTCACTGCATGTTCCTCCTAGCAGTCCGACGTGTCCATTTGGGGCCTCTCGGTGCTTAGCAAGTAGATAATATAAGTGATGTTGCAATAAATGTAAATGACCCCACTCTCCCATTGCTTAAGGCTACTTTTATGAGTTAGCCAGATGCTTGTGTGTCCTCAGACCAAACTGATTCATGTACAAATAATAAAATGTTTACTCTTTTGTAAGATTGAGTTTCACTTATCTCAAGGGAGATGGATACGTACTAATTCATAATGATATGGGCGGTTCTTCCAGGGACTTTAATAAAGCTGCTTAGATATAATATTAGATAAATGTAACAGACTACTCTGTATTAAAGGATTAAAGCCAGATATTTAAACAGTCCCTTTTAACATAATCTTGAAAGCTTTATTCTTGCAGTAGAAATTTTTAAAAAAACAACTTTGTATGGCACACAACCATGATTCAAAAAGATTCTAAATAGGGTCTGACTATATATGTAAAAATATTTGTGTTTCGTATGAAATGACAGGGAATACATAAGGCAGGCTAGAACTGTGGTTTGAGAGACCTGTGTGCTAGTCTTGGTTCTACCACTAACTCGCTGTGTGGCTCAAGCAAGTCCTGTCACTGTTCTGAAATTCTGGGGACTCGTTTATAAAATGACATGGACAGAAAGTATCTCGGATGATCCTCAAAGGTTTAAGGTCTAGGACCTAAACTGTAAATACTCTTTTAAGGAATGACTGAGTTTTCATAATTATGTCTCCCAGGGGATAAAACTACATTTTTCTTTTTTTTTTTTTTTTTTTTAAAGATTTTTTTATTTTTTCCTTTTTCTCCCCAAAGCCCCCCGGTACATAGTTGTGTATTCTTCGTTGTGGGTTCTCCTAGTTGTGGCATGTGGGACGCTGCCTCAGCGTGGTCTGATGAGCAGTGCCATGTCCGCGCCCAGGATTCGAACTAACGAAACACTGGGCCGCCTGCAGCAGAGCGCGCGAACTTAACCACTCGGCCACGGGGCCAGCCCCAAAACTACATTTTTCTTAACAGAGACATTTTCTTCTTCTTTTTTAATATCTTCATCCTTACATTAATAATTTTAGAAATATATCTTGCTGGTCTGATCTCAAGAAAAAAGGAATACACAAACATACCCATATATTTCACGGCCCGAGAGAGTAAGCCAATATGAAGACTTCTGGGGAGTGAGAGCTCCCGCTTTCTCTTATCTGTCTACTTAACCTCTTAAACAAGGCTCAGTTGTGCTATGAGTTGGTTCAACCCTTGCACGTCACCATAGGGAAAAGACAAATACTTATCAACTCTAAAGAAGAAACCTTACTAATGAATTGCAAAGAACGTTAGTTTTGTTTACATTATAACCTAGATATCTACTGGGTAAGGTGGATGTCTTTGTTTTAAAGAAAAAAAAAGAAAAGAAAAGCTAGTATACCTTAAGTACTCATTTATAAGACTCTATCTCAAGTATCTCTAGCTCTGGAACATTTGAGACCTGGTAGTTTTTCTTGTCTGATTAACTTGAAATGCCTGAAAAATAGCCCAAACGCAAACTTCAACTCTTCTTCCTCTTTTTTTACTATGTTTTTTAGAGGTGACACTATCATTAAGGATTCACACAACTGTAAATAAAATAACATCAGCAATTACTGCTCTGAAATGTTTCTGGTTTGCAAAGGTTTAACAACGGGATGTTATGACCCCTTCTCCCTTCAGAGACCTGTCCTGAGCTCTCAGTGACTCTTCCTACCCCAGGCGGCCGACGAGGGAAGGTCCCTGGTGTTCCGCAAAGAGTCAGCAAAGTGTTACAGCTGGTAGCACTGGTAGCAACATAAAAACCAAAAAGTACACAGATACCACAAACACACACACACACACACACACACACACACACACACACGACACCTGGCCAAGCGATGAAAGTCTGACCCCTGAAAATTCTATGAAATCTGATGACCACGAACATCAAAGGAATTTTAACAACTATTTTAGGGCACTGACACTGAGATTAACACCCGGTTTATTTAGATGTTATCCTGGTCCTCATGCACTCATCTGCAGATATTTTGGGGGTGGAAGTGGGGTAGGGCTGACTCAGAAAAACCTCTGAGCCTCAGGCTTTATTCAGACCTAAAGTGACATTAGGAATGAGGTGTGCAGAAGGCAAGGTGAGATTCTTGTCTAATATTTAGTGACTAACTTAAACTTTAAAATGTAATTTTTAATTTCAGCGACTGGTTTCAAAATATCTGCCTGTTTAGGGGGCCGTCCCAGTGGTGTAGTGGTTAAATTTGCATGCTCCACTTCAGTGGCTCAGGTTCACTGTTTCGGATCCTGGGTGTGGACCTGCACACCGTTCATCAAGCCATGCTGTGGTGGCATCCCACACAGAAGAACTAGAATGGCCTACAACTAGGATTTACAACTAAATACTGAGGCTTTGGGGAGAAAAAAAGAAAAAGAGAAAGATTGGCAACAGATGTTAGTTCAGGGCCAATCTTCCTCACCAAAAAAAAAAAAAAAGAAAAAAAAATCCACCTGTTTAACTTCTATATTATTCAAAGACATCTCAGCTCATGGCTACAATGAAAGTATTAGACTAGCTATTTCTCAGCTCAGTGCTCAGAAAAATTATTGTTGATCCCCTTTTCTTTTTTCCTCTTAAATAAAACACCTATTTAAAGATGGAGTTTTTCTCAGAGTCATTTCAGCAAGGGGAGGCAAGGTCTCCATTTTGAACATTCCGGACCTTGTTTCATGATGTTTTGCCAAGAGCATTTTTCTTAACCTCAGCCACTTCATCAACCACCTCAACCACTTTGCCAAACACCCCATTGTCACCATCACCTTTGCCAAATGGATTGCAAAGTCCTATGATCATTGGGAAATGATCCAGAAAGAGTCTCTCAAAACACAGGATCTTTCTGTTTCTTCTTAATGAACCAAAAAGAATCAGGAGACCCACCTCCTAGTGACAAATGAAAAGGGAAGGAAGGTTCGACTGTGGGAAAATACCACAAAGAAGAAATGCCTCTCACCCTGAAGAATTATGCACTATTTTTCAAGACAAATGGCGCTATATGAGCCCACCAACCAAATAAACAACAAAAACCAGAAAGGAAGAAAGAAAGCACTGGAATCAATTTAATTCTCGTCTCATTTATTTCTGTCATGGAATTTGCAGTCTGGAAAGGACCCCAGAAATCACGCCCCTCTGCAGTTTTGTTTTATTCACGAGAAAAGTGGGGCCCATGGAAACCATGGTTTGTCGACGTTCACCCCAGGACTAGAACCCAGGTATCCTGGTTTCCAGTCTGCAGGCATTTATTTGGTGAACCTAGAAAGCTTCCTGGCTTTTGATGGTAGATTTGTTCAGCAAATGACCCAGCATCTCCCGGAGGTAAACTGAGCCTCATGAAAGTAGGAGGCCCTCAGGAAGATGCATCCCTGTCCTCTGGTGGCTGGAGGATTAAATGATCATGTTGCAACTTGTTCTGTGGGAAATCCTCTGGGGAATTAATTATTACTGTGATTATATGAAGTGTGACTCTCCTGAAGTAGTTTGGCATATTTATTTTATACCAGTATTATATGAAACCAAGGCACATTTTAAAAGATCTTGACACCCACCTGAAGCTTACAGGCAAAACCTGCTACTAGATCAATTTCTTTTATTTTGGTTTGACCAATCTCCAAAACAAACAACAGTGAAACAGGATTTTATTTTTAAATACTGTGGTATTCATTTTTCCCTCAGACTTCTGATTCTACAAGAGTGGCACTCGTTAGAATGATACACGGCTGTTTGAAATATCTGCATTACCTTTCGGACGGAGAAATGGGTCATGCTAACTCTCCTTCCAGTGGGGGAAGGCTGCAGGAAGGGCTCCCTTTATCAGGAGGCACATCGACAATGCAAGGAGCCTAGCTCAATCAATCTAGCTGGCATTCTGGGAGGCCTTGTGCCCAGGCAGGATAGCATAGTAACTTCATACTGACTTGTTCCATTTTCTATTGGAAAAAGCTTTCAGATAGAATCACAGCATACTCGGTGGGAGGTAGGAGGCTTTTGCAGACCCTAGGCAGTCACGTACTGCCGAGCCCCCACCCTCACCCCTACCCCCGTGTGCCACAGTCCCTCTATCTGTGACCGTGCATTTGCTCCCAAATCCTTAACCTCAAGCCAAGCAGGTGGGACCTGTAAGAGGAATGCTCAGGGTAGTTCAGCTCTCTGCTTCTCAAGGAGCATATGAGTATGGGTCTAGGTCACACTTCCCTGGGTGTTTAGGAAGTGATATTTGAGCCTTTGCTAAACAATAAATGTCTTGGACCCAAGTGTACCTGGGCAAAGGTGACCATGTTCTGGGCCTCCCTGCTCTTTTCTAGAAACACTTGTCTGGAAGGAGTAATTGCAGCCCCCAGATCTCCTAGGACTTGTAAACTAAAACCATGAGGGGACACACTTCTTGTCCCTTGCCTGACCTCCCTTTGCTCCCTTCACCAGGAAGGCGCTGATGGTAGACGGCAGCTGGGGAGAGCAGGGAGAGAGAGCGCACGAGAGAGAACTCATGCCTGATGGATCCCATTAGGCTTAGTGTGCAAAGCAAGTTGAGATGAAGTAGCTGCTCTGGTATGCGTCCAAAACTGCTGTTCTATTTTTAGTCTCCCCCGCGTGCTTCTTAGCCCCGCGTGTACGCCTGGGCACCTGGATCGGCAGCAAAACATGGAACTGAGCCACTCATTTGTAAAACTGGAAGGAAGGAGGCCATTGATGCCCGGCTTGTTTATCGCTGACAGGGAAGGCGGACCTGGAATGTTAATGAGGACGGCTCTCTGAAGCATGCCTTCATGGTTAGCTAGGAGTTCAAAGGAGGAGGCAGCCTCGTCCTGTGCCGAACAAATGTGAACCGTTGATAGAGGGAAGGAGAAATCAATTATGCTGTTGCAGGCTTCCATGTCATTGTGTTGGAGTTGTTAGAAAAGGTAGGACAAGGACCAGATCTCAGAAGGAAACAAAGCCACATGGCCTTGAAGTATAACGAGTTTGCCATGGCAACTGATGGAAACGAGCCTCCCGGGCACTGAGCAGGTGTGTTATCTTACAGAATAAACATACTTCTCTCACTCCCTGGTTTTTATAATAAAACCTGTGTTTGGATTACTTTCCCTTCCTCTTTGTTACCCGGAGAAGTTGGCTGTTGCT